GGTCAACTCATGATGGACATGTGAAGTCAAAATGGCTGTGCGGGCTAATTTTTATTTTATTTTTTTTCTTTGAGTGCAAAATTTGAGATAGGAATGCTCTCTTGTAGCACCGAACTCCTCTCCTTTTACAAGCACCAAAACATGAATAGTTCATCAAAAAAGAGGCTTCAAGATATTTATTGCCACTCCCAGTTGAAGATTACTGGCAAACAATACAAAGAATAACATCCTGTGTCATTAAAACAACCATGTGGCTTTGCCTTAGGGGAAGTCATTTTAGTCCATGCAAACAATGAAAAACGGCATAAAGAGGAGAACAAACTGCATCGATGTCATATTGTTATAAGGTGAAGTGAGGCAAGGCAGCTTTATTTGAATAGCGCATTTCCTCCCCTTACAACCTTTCAAACATATTTGACCACAAATAGTGCAGCAACACATGTAGGCAGTCAGTGTTGAGTGTTAATGTTGTACTGCCCCCAGGTGGCCATTGGGGGTACAGCAGAATGACCAGCACAATGTCCATGGAAGCGAAGCCCAAAAATATGGCACAGTTTTTCAGTACATACTGTTTATGTCAATACAGTTATGGTTTTATGAAGTATAATATTATAGAGTGCTTCTTTTCTTATTAAAAACGCAATGGCATTTTATTGCCGGGGGAGGGGGGGCTCTGGAATAGATTAGTAGCATTTCCATTCATTTGGGGAAAGATGTTTTTAGGTACTTATGTTTTCAGTTGCAGTCCTGCTCATGTGGGAACACTGAATTTCCCCACCCGCTCCCATTTCCAGTCAAAGTCAACAAAAGCCTGATCATCTGATGATCATCTCTAAAGACTATTCTGCTGCCTGGGTGCTTTAAGAGGAAATGTTGGTCTCCTATCTGCTAAGAAACCCGTGGGGTGGACAAATTGTAAATGTTACACCGGTATAATGAGTTTTCATCTATGTTGTAGATGGCAGACAAGATAACACCTAACCACCTAACCTGCTTGCTTGTATTTCTCATCGTTTTTTTTTTTTTTTTTTTTTTTTTTAACCCGGCTATCTGGTTGCCCTGTGGCACCACACTGCCTCTCACAGGTCAGTCTTGTTACTACAGCACAAGGTCATATGTGGAAATCCTGTGCTGGTGCATCTCACGTGTGTCACATTTTAAAAATCTGTGTGGTTGTTTGTACCCCACTATTAGTCTTGCTTTTACAGGTGATTGTGTTGTGGATTAGTGAGAGAGACCAGGATCATAAATTCCAGTGTAAATCTCATGATTGTTATAGAAGGCCAGTTGGGTGGTTTTAGCAGCAAGCTTTGGTCAGGTGGTGCTCGGCAGCGGGCTGTTTGGGATTAACCGATTACTGCTTCAAATTCTAAAACTCCACCATAAAACTCTCATGCTTCAGCTTTTGTGCACACAGACATGAAACTGGTAATGCAAGTCTGACAATGTTTTGGGCCGACAGAATAAGCCAGTTTGTACAAAACATCCGTTCCTCCAGTGTTTCTGACTGATCCACGATTCAGGGGAGTAATAGTCCCGTGGCCAAGACACAGACTACACCCTGCATTTACTGGAAGAAGGCCTGCCCCACCAAACCACTTCCTCACTCATTTCTCTCACCAACACGCATCTGCCGCTGATCAACTCCGCACTGTGCTGATTCAAAGCAAGCCGTTATCTTTGCAGTGTGAAGGTTACAAATGTAGTACACTTTCGATCTTACTGGTTTTATTTTTTTTTCACTAGGTGATAGTGGACACCCCCACCAGTCCAGTCACCAGCGGCCTACCCTTATGTTTTGTGATTACAGTGACAGCGATCAAGCAGGTAGGATCTTGCCTACCGAGCATTGTGTGGGTTGATAATATAATCTTTTCCTCATAAGACTTCTCATCTCATCATTGACTTCCTCCTCATTATAACAAGTCTCCATTTGTCCTTCTTCCTGAAATGTACATGACTAATTCTCTCTTAGACTTTGTATTAACGTACTGCTGTTGAATTCTGATTAGGCAAGACACAAAGTGGGCCTCTGAAGGAACGACCACAGGGAACTTTTCAATGAGCGTAACTCTGCCTTTGTTGCTGCTTGCGTCCCCTCTTCTGATGTATTGTCTCACGACTGACTTTTTAGTCGGTCTACTGCTGGGGCTTTGAAATGCACAACAGTGGGCGGACTTCCTTCTGTAAATGTTATGTGGCCCACTGATAAAGCTGCAGGGCTTTTAGTATGGCATTAAAGGGAACAATGTGACATTCTGGCTAACCCTTTTTCGTCAACTGTGTCGTCAAGCTACAGTGCCGTGTAAAAGTGTGTTTAAGTTGAAACATGTTATATTTTTTTATCCGATTCATCAATTAATTGATTACTAAAATAACCGCTAGTTGCAGCCCTAGTATAAACTGTATACTGTATTTCAGGGGTGTCAAACATACGGCCCGCGGGCCGGAACCGGCCCGCAAGTAGGTTCAATCAGGCCCGCAGGATAATGTAAAAGTGAAAAAAATGCATTAAAGACACAGAATTAATATTTTTAATCAGGTGCAATTCATTGAGTATCCGCAAGGGGACACTGTTTTGATCAGAGAAGAAGACAACAGCAGCCTCAGTCTGTCACTGAGACAGACCCATGACAGCAGACGCTATCAATAGCACTCTCACATTTATACATTTAATAGCACTCTCCTTAGTTTGTAAGGTGTAGGCAGGGATTACATTTAGATTTTATATGCACGTGTAAATGCTTTAAAACTTGCTTTCTTTATGAATCTTGTTTAATCTTAAAGTGCATTACTATATTTTTCAATACCAATTACTTGTTAAAGTTTGTACAATCAGTGGGATCAGTTGCAATGCATATATGTGAATGATAAAAGTAAATTGCACATTTGTCGAAGGAAATGTAAGGTGCTTCATGAAATGTTTTGTAAAAGATATGTTCATTAAATTTCAACATTTTCCTAATGTTCTTGTGCTTCTTTATACCAAAACAAAGGAAAGACATATTGTTTTGGTTATTTATAGCAAAGTATTGTATCATTTTAATGGTCCGGCCCACTTGACATCTACCGAGGCCGTATGTGGCCCACCATGTGAAATGAGTTTGACACCCCTGCTGTATTTCATTGATTTATCTCTACGTAGGTACAGCATGTTTTTTTTTCTTTCCCAATTAGACTGCTCTATATAATTTAATTTATTTCAATGTCTCACCTTTATTTCAACCACTTGGGATCATCACATGCCTTTCGCCTTTCCCTGTAATCCTTCTTTCTGGCTCTGCCCCTGCCTTGGCTCACCTTCGGATTCGCCTCTTTACCTTCTTTATCGCTGCAGCACCCTATCCGTCTCCATCTCTATCCATGAGTAGTTTTTAAATGCACCCACTCTAGTCTCTGCAAGCGCTCCTTTGCACCACCCACTGTAGTCTCTGCAAGCGCTCCTTTGCACCTGATGCACATAACAATGAAACTACTAAATGCGAAGTGCACCTTTCTTTATTCCTCAATTCTTACGTAGTTGTTGAGAAAAACACTGCGCATTTCTTTGACGTAGAAATCAAAATGTGTCACGCTGACTTGCGTCCCCTGTAGGGCTATGAAGACTGGCTAAGACACAAGGCTGACAATGAGGTGAACAAGTACCCTGTGACTGTGCTCGAAAACGGTCTGAGGCTACGGAAGGAGAGCGAGAAGATCAAGGTAGCTTGCAGCATCCCCGCTAGCCTCCTGAGAAATAGCGATTTCCCATCAGGTGTAGTTCTGGAAGAGATGTTAGAACATGCGCTGACTGCTAAACAGAAAACATATTTCACTTTTATGGTGAAGAGTGTCCAGGATGTTGTCTGCAAGTATTTTTGTAAATTAATCTATTAAGGGCAACAATAATGTTAGGATATTCAAGATGGATGTGCGGCCATTTATCAGATGTGGTGTGGTGGCCAAAAAGCTCTCTTTTTGTTTAGGTGGGAGATGTTTTGGAGGTAGAGGAAGAGGAGACCTTTCCCTGTGATTTAATCCTGCTTCGATCCAGCCGGGATGACGACACCTGTTTTGTTACCACTGCTAGTCTGGATGGTGAATCCAACCATAAAGTAAGTGGAACTGTTTTCAGGCGGATAGATTAAGGGGACTCCTGTGATGAAATAGGGAACTGTAACTTAATATAGTACAGTGGAACCTCTGTTTTTAATGAATTCTCCTTTCCAGAGAGTCTGATGAAACCAAAATTGTACAAAAACCAAAGCAATATTTCCAGCAAGAAATAATGTAAAGCCATTAACCGTTCCAGGCATCTACACGTATAACAAAAATATATACTATAGAGAATAACAACAGTTTTACATTACTCACTTAATTAATCACTAATGGAATATGTCATGAAACATTGAGAATTTTAGCTTGACTCTGCTTTCTTTGGCCAAGCGCTGGCCTATTTATATGTGACACTCAAACTATTTGTGCTTGTTTCCTGAGCGTGACTGCTCAGTAAGTCACCGTGTGGCCAAAGAACGCGTAGTGAAACTGCTTAACTGATTTTTACCTTTAGCCGATGTCCGAAACGTGCACACCTCATTAACGTAAACATTTTTAAAATTACAAAAATGGAGATCGGCTTTTTTACAGGACAGCGACAATATGAAAAAAAAAAAGAATCGTGTGAAAAGCAGGATGTATTTTAATATTCTTCTTAGTTGCTTTCCTTCATGCCAGTGTGTTTTGGTGCTTGCTTCATTTGTGCCATATTAATGACACTCAATCTCTTCCTCATCTCCAGACACACTACACTGTTCCAGACATAGAGAAGGATCTGGAATCCCTCAGTGCCACTTTGGAGTGTGAACAGCCCCAGCCTGACCTTTATAAGTAGGTATTCATCAAGTGACTTCAGTAGATTCACCGTACGAGTCTGCATTGCCTGTGGTTGTTAAAAATTGCAGAATCATTTCAATTCCAGTTTTTATGGTTTAACCAAAAGGATTAATGTCCGATATCAAAATGCTTTTTACCAGACGTGGACAATATTCTGATATCCTGTTGGAAATAAAAACCCACAATGATCACTAAATAACCTGGAAAAAGTCAGAGGAATTGAGCATTGCTATCCCGTAATCGTTACGTAAATAACTTGAAAGTAATGAGGAATTTGTTGAAATACATATTGACGTGCCATAATACATCTGGGACAACGTTTTTAAATTACTATTGGGTTTTTTTTTCCTTCTTTAACAAAATGGCACTTACAATTCTGCATGTGCCTTGTGCTCAAAGAAAAGAACTGTACCTATTTTGAAACCAGCAGCAGGCGCAGGTCATTTTTTTCTGGGGCTGCTTTGCTAAGTGTCATGAACTTGTGCCAGGCGCAAATGAATCCCATTCAGTGACTTTTAAAAGCATTTTTTTTCTTACTACTTTCTTCAGTTTCAAGTTGATTAGTGATCGATGTCGGCTTTTTTCTCGTTCACGGAAGGCAACCAAAAATTTTGTCCACGTCTGTACTTCTGCTCAGCAAGTCATTAATGCGTGTGCATTTTTGTGCCAGGTTTGTCGGCCGTATGCACATCTACAAAAGCAATCAAGAGCCCGCAGTGAGGTGAGAGCACTCAATATAGTCCGTCAGGCTGACTTTTAAGCGAGAACCTAATCAAAACACAGTTTGCTTAAGCACCCGTTTGCATCGCCAGCAAATCATTCTTCTATTGATCCTTTATAATAGTAGTAGTGCGCTGGTAAAATTAAAAGGGACTGGCTCGGATTCAGAGACTCCCTCCAAAGCATTGCCGTACTGTACATGTTGATCACTGGCTGCCTTTGTCGTGGCTGTTTAAACGAATGCCAGTGTGTCTCCGTGAATGCCCAGATTGCAGTCATATGGCCCACGTTCCCTGCACTGTTTAGAGACAATGCCAGCTGGGCTCCCAAGGTTTCAAATAAATAAAATGAGAAGAATGCGGAACTCTCTGCCCCTGTTTGACTTTAACCAATGAGATCCTGTGCAGGTCTTTGGGCCCGGAGAACTTGCTGCTTAAAGGGGCAACATTAAAGAATACTGAGAAAGTCTGCGGTGAGTCTACTATCACTTGCATTATGTTTTACTACCAAAAGTAACAAAATGTAAGTACTTTTCTGCATGTGTTCTTTAAGGTGTTGCCATTTACACTGGCATGGAGACCAAAATGGCTCTCAATTATCAGGGCAAGTCTCAGAAACGCTCTGCTGTGGAGAAGTAAGTTTACACCAAGGTGCCAGTATGTTTGCCCACGTGTGATGCCAAGCTTTTAGGCAACCCGCGCATTTTCATGTCTTCACTCTCAGGTCCATCAATGCCTTCCTTTTGGTGTACCTTTGCATTTTGTTGAGCAAGGCTCTGGTCTGCACAACGCTCAAGTATTTGTGGCAAAGCAAGCCCGGGCAGGATGAGCCTTGGTACAATGAGAAAACCCAGAAAGTGAGGGACACCAATCTGGTGAGTTGAAAGATAGGTCTACCCGGCATAAGAGCAGTGCTTTACATTGTGTATGGCATACACAGGAGTGTTGTTGTAACGTCTAAGGCAACAGCTTCTTGCACCATATTTTTAATCTTATTTTACAAGCTTCACCCTTTACTGATCCGCTTTAATAAAATTATGCAGTGTGAAAAGTGCATCGCAGACTGACACTGTGAAATTGCCCATTTCATTGACTGTTAACCCTCTGCGGTAATCAACTTAACATTTCAATCTAAAAATCGTGGTTTATTACCGCAACATTACAGGAACACGAAAGTAAGATTTATGATGTCTTATTTTTCTCTTCTCTCACCAGTATCTAAAGATGTTCACTGACTTCCTGTCATTCATGGTGCTCTTCAACTTCATCATTCCCGTGTCCATGTACGTGACGGTTGAAATGCAAAAGTTTTTGGGGTCCTTTTTCATCACCTGGGACAAGGACTTTTTTGACCCTGAAATCAAGGAGGGGGCGCTCGTCAACACCTCCGATCTCAATGAGGAACTGGGACAGGTCTGTATTGACAGAGATTATTGGTTTTAGATTACATACATGTAGGGCTTTAGTCTCCCGGGCGGGTGTAATTCTTTTTTTATATGCACCTGGGTTTACCCATTTTTCATCAACATGTATTCTCCCACCCAAACAAACCATGCGAGTATAGCACATTTTGAAATGGAAAATGAAAATAACTTACATAACAGCTGTGTCGTTGGCCAGTATATAATTCAGTATATAATTCAGTGCTTATTTTTGATTTTTTTTAAGGCAAGAGTTACAGCTGATAGATTGTGCAGGTGTAACTAAATAAGAGGCCCGTAAAGTATGATTAAATTCTTCTATAAAATGATGAAAGATGATCTGACAGAATGTGATCGCCAGTCTAATTACAACAGATGTACTTTTAAATGCTAATAAGTAACCCCAAGCAGTTGGTGTCATTTTGACTTATTTAGTTTTATGGCACTTTTAATTGCCGTCAGTTGCCATTGACATTTAGATTTGCCCGGTGATTGAGATGACAGAGATGCAAAGTTAATGCTGTGTGCAAGGTTAATGATCAATGCAGTGTTACTTTCTCACTCGGTCTGACTGTTCAAATTGACAACACGCTTAAGTGACTTTGACAATGCAGATTTTTTTTCTTCCTTCCCAGGTGGAGTATGTCTTCACAGACAAGACAGGGACCCTCACTCAGAATAACATGGAGTTCATTGAGTGCTGCATCGATGGATTCCAGTACAAGCACCGAGACGTGAACTCTGAAGTAGACGGATTTTGTGTCACAGATGGGCCCGTGAACAGTCTGAAGGAAAAAGCTGGCAGAGTAGGTGTTTGGCGGCGTCGCCCCATCTGTTATACACAGAAAAAAAAAAAAAAGGAAAAAAATCCATGTATGCGGCAACATATGGCTGCGATATCACTCAGTGCCCCGGAAGGCCCTTCACAGGTCACCCACATACAGTCTATTTGCCATGTCAGCATATGTATTCAGCACTCAAGTGTTTGTGGTACGAGAGCCGGAAAGCACTTTATGGACTGTGGTATGATAACATGTATATTGATATGAAGAAGTTTGAGGGACAATTGACTGGCGTAAATCTTGAGCTTGAACTAATCATCAGCTACTGTATATGACACTGGGGCTGCAAATGAGTTGACTTTTGTGACCTTGACCCGGCAAGTTCCCAGTGGAAGCTCAAGAAGCCGCAGGAGTATAGAGCGCAAATGACGTCACTGTAAAGTGAAAATAATTCAATTTTCTTTGTCAAACAAATACTTCTCTAAATGGATGCACCTTCATCTTGCATCTTTTTTGTGCCTCCACATTATTGCATGTTGAAGCTGTGATAATGTATTCACTTAAAGCCTCCCCTGACTGAAATATAACCCACCAGGTCGCAGAGGAACTTTTTGACATCACAACGGGGCGCTCTAAAGCAGCCAGACCTGTGCAAAGCCCCAGTCTACATGTTACATCAGCGTTTAAATTAAAACATTTTTTTTTTACTGCATTTTTCCACCTTCTCTCCTAGATGTGTGCAGACTCATGCCTTACAATGAGGCATGCTAAGGCAGCCACACCAGTGGACGATACAAAAAATGAAGCCCCCCCCTCCCACCCCCCCAATCTCCACATCTGAGTTTATAGTTCTCAGTCTTTGCATGTTTCATCAATTATAAAATGTATTTGGAAAAACAAATCTCTGAATTGACATTACAGGGTCTTTAAAAAATATACGTTTTTATTTTGTTGTAATTTGCTTTGGCGTAAAACTGCACTAAATAGCACCTAATGCTGTTTCCTGTGATTGTTTATCAGAAATACATCATAAATACATACAATTTTGCCTAAATAATACCCAAGTAAGGATGAGCGGTTTGGAAAATGGAGGGATCATAATTATTTCATGTGTTTGTGTTGCTAGGAACGCGAGGAGCTGTTTCTGCGCGCCCTTTGTCTTTGCCACACGGTCCAGGTGAAAGAGTCCCCCGAGCCGAGTCAGGTCCAAGACGGCAGGATGGCCGACCAGGTAGATGCCATCGTACTCGGTGTCCCTCTGGATGAGAGGGGCTTCATAGCATCCTCCCCTGATGAGGTTGCTCTGGTCAAAGGTGCCATGAGGTAAGGATTCATGTTTTTGGGTTTGTTTTTTGATTTTTTTTTTTTTTTTTTTTCCACTGACCAGATACGGAAAGTTGTCACAACAACGTTTGTCTCCACCTGCAGGTATGGCTTCACATTTCTGGGTCTGGAAAGTAAAGCCATGAAAATCCTCAACAGGAGCCATGAAATTGAAGTGTAAGTTGGTTTATTTAATTAAAAAAAAAACCAAACAAAAAACCCCAATAAATGTCCTCATTTGGGTCTTATTGGAACGTTGATTTTTCTCTTTTCAGCTATGACCTGCTTCATGTGTTGAATTTTGACCCAGTGAGAAGACGAATGAGTGTAATTGTCAAATGCAAATCAGGTGAATGAGAAACTTTTTATTTTAAATTTGATTTATTTTCCACCAAGTAGCAATTCCTGAACACTCTGCTCTTGTTTTTATCAATGTCCGACAGGTGATATTGTGCTCTTCTGCAAGGGAGCAGACTCCTCCATTTTTCCTCGCGTCAGACAGGAGGAAGTGGAACCGATACGTGTGCACGTGGAGCGGAATGCAAAGGTGGGTGTCCTTGCTTGTCACTCTAATCATTTCACAACAGATTTATACAAGGCTGCTTTGAACACAGTGTGTTTTTGTTTTTGTTTTTTTGCAGGAGGGCTACAGAACACTGTGTGTGGCTTACAAACTACTTGGCACAGAGGAGTATGCCCGGGTGGACGCGGCCCTGAGGGAAGCGAGGCTGGCTCTGCAGGGCAGAGAGGAGAAGCTCATGGCTGTTTATAACGAGGTGGAGACGGGCATGAGTCTCATCGGGGCGACTGCTGTTGAAGATCGGTGGGTGTGTCCCCCCCCCACCGCACCCACTTTTTTTTCTTTTGTGTGAACTTTTAACGTAGTGAAGGTGCTTTGTGTCTCGCCTGTTATCTCCCTCTGGACATTGTCACCTCGTTGTCGTCTTGTTGGAGGATACTGCCATCTCGTGGTTCACATGGAGTATTTGTACTACTCCGAAAAGGGAATGTTGTTTCTTTTCGGTGACACTCTATTAATTTGAAATGCAGCACTGTCTTTACAGGTGAACTTAATTTGATCTTCCATAAACTTTTTAATGCGAATTTCTTAACTGTTCAGTCTTTCAATACTTTTCCCACAACACTCTGTTCTTTAACACTGAGTTAAATTCATAACAGGCGTTTGATCCATGAATACATTTCAGGTTCAACTGGAATTGGTATTTAAACAAAATCCCCTCCATTTTGCTGTTCTTATTTTGTTAGCATTACACCAAGAGACCTAGTAATTGATCAAAAATGTTGAAACAGGATGTTGTCCGAGGAAAGGGGCCACTGATCTTAGTGTGACAGAGAATCATCAGCTGGTTGCAACAGAGAAACTTAGTAGCTGACATCCTTGGACATTTCAAAATTGAAGCATTCTTTATAATATGGATTAAAAAAATCTAACCCATCTGTCAAATCAAATCCAATTTGAGCATGTGAATGCAAGGTCAAAAAAAGGTCAAACTAAGTTCCGCCAGATTTTGCATCGCATCAGTGACTACTTTAACGCTGATCCAATTTAACATGTCCAAATGCTGAAATAAGTGATCAGTTTCGAATTTTTGTGGTCGGATAAAAGTAGTGAAAAATCTGTTGATAGTGCCGCAAAACAGGAATGTAACAGTTCGATTTTGAAGTCTTGGAGGTTTGATTTTGTTAATGAAGCAAAATTCTTTCTTTGCAGACTTCAAGAGGAAGCCGCAGAAACTATGCAGGCTCTGCAGGGGGCCGGCATTAAGATCTGGGTCCTAACGGGAGACAAAATGGAGACGGCAAAGTCTACCTGTTTTGCCTGTCGCTTGTTTCAGATGACCACTGAGCTGTTGGAGCTAACGGTGCGCACTCTTGATGAAGGAGGTCGCAAGCGCGAGGAACGACTGCACGAGCTCTTACTTGAGTACCACAAGAAGGCGGTGCAGGATGCGCCATCTGTAGAAAATAGCATCAGCGGGTTGGTGTTTTAACCTTTGTGATGTACAGTAGCTCACAAAAATGAGGACACCCCTCTTGATTTTGTCAGTTTTCCATTCTCTTAGTTTTTATGGGATAACACTGAAGATTGTACTCCTTTAGTGGCACCTCAGAATAACTCGACATTCAACTGTTATTAAGAAAGAGAATGATAACACCAAATTTAACGCATCTTAACCCCATTCACACCTGAGCCCCGAAAACTAGTAACACAGACAGTGGAGAGACTCGATGGGCCCATTTTGCACTTTGCACATTTTCCACGTTGTTGTATGCTCACTTTTGTTGCCAGTGATTTAGATATTGCTCTGTGTTGAAGTTACTTTGAGGAGACAGTTGTAAAATTCTGAACCAAAATGTGAACTGGCTACACAAGTGCTGAAATCCTGACTGTTTTCTTCAAACAGGAACTGGTCGGTTACCAGCCATGAATACGGTTTTATTATTGATGGAGCCACTCTGTCAATGGTGCTCAACTCCACTGATTCCAACTCCAGCCATTACAGGACCCTCTTCCTGCAGATTTGTCAAAACTGCACCGCCGTGCTGTGCTGCCGCATGGCTCCATTGCAAAAAGCCCAGGTCAGAAAAATGTATTCATTCATTCATTCTCTATATCCAGTCAATCGCAGGGGACAGTAGACAAAGCGCCATTCACCCCTGGATAACAATTTCACTGCCCTTAAAGGGAAAAAAAGGTTCACTTATAAAAGAGAGAATTAAAAATCCTTTCACATTTCTCATTCAGTGCCTCATTCTTCTCTTCAGATAGTAAAACTGGTGAAGAACTCTAAAGGCAGCCCGATTACCCTCTCCATTGGTGATGGTGCCAATGACGTCAGCATGATTTTGGAAGCTCACGTTGGCATTGGTGAGAAATCTCGTGCGCTAAATGTGATAAAGAACACAAGTACCGTGAGTTGAAAGTCTTGGCCTAATGATTCCTTCTTGATATTTCAGGAATCAAGGGTAAAGAGGGTCGACAGGCGGTGAGGAACAGTGACTACGCCATCCCCAAACTCAAGCACCTGAAGAAACTCCTGCTGGCCCACGGGCATCTGTACTATGTTCGCATTGCACATTTGGTGCAGTATTTCTTCTACAAGGTAGCAGAGCAAAAACACTTGATTTGCACCCTACAGAGAACACGCTTTTGAGATCATCTCCATCCACTTCCCCACAGAACCTGTGCTTCATCTTACCTCAGTTTTTGTACCAGTTCTTCTGCGGCCATTCCCAGCAGGTGAGTATGCAATGATATCTTTCAAGGTTTAAAAACTGAGTCATCGTCTAACGTGGCTCAAAAGCTCACTCCACCCCATTTTCCCCCCAGATTGACCCTTTGTTCTTGCCCTCAGATGTCTGAACTTTGTTGCTAGATTGCATCCACCATATTAGCATTGTAGAATTGTCCGGCCTAGAAGCATTGTGGCAACAGAAACTGTTAAAGTTAGAGATATTTGTATTTCAGGTGAAATTTCAGGACGAGCCTAAAATGCATTCAAACCTTTAGAGGTGAACTTAATGTGACCTTCTCTAAGCTTTTGAATGCACATTTCCAACCGTTTAAATGTTTCAAACAGGGAGCTTAACGGCAAAATTCACAACGGGCGTTTGAATCTTGAAACGTCCAATCAATGTCCTGGTTCAATTAGAGCTGGTGTTTAAAAACAGTCGTCCTCATCATGCTTTTCACATTTTGACATGGGACTAAGACGACACCTAACAATGGATCAATAGTACCTTGCCATTTGTGATGTTTCAAACAGGATGTTCTCAGAAAGAACTATTTTAATCAGTTGAGTTGACAAACTAATTTCATTCAGCAAGCTCCTCTGTTTCTGTAAGTGGCTCTGCTTCCTCAACTTAAAATTGCATGGATAGCGAGTTGCCATCACACTTGTACATCGTTGTGGAGTCATAAACTTGACAAATGTAGCGTTTAAGTTTGATGAGCGTATGCGTGTGTGCTAGTTTTGTCCACTGCGTGATATTAACCCCTGGTTGCCCCCGTCCGTCCCTTCCCAACCTCTTTCCGCATTCACTTCCCCATCCTCCCCAGCCCCTCTATGATGCAGCCTATCTGACGATGTACAACATCTGCTTCACCTCTATGCCCATCCTGGCTTACAGCCTCTTGGAGCAGCACATCAGCATCCAGGCTCTGCTGAGCAATGCTCCTCTCTACAGGTAAGCTCCTCCAATCTTCCCAGATCTGCAGAGTTGCAGGGATTTACTTTTACTTACCTAAAGGTTAATAGAGGGGAGTGTTTTTTTTTTCTTTTTGTTTTTTTTCGTGTGTGTGTGAAGAACAAGTATTTGTTTTTCCAGTAATACATAGTCACTTAAAAAACATCACACCAGGCAAAATCGGTGTATCCAGATGTGACAAGTGCCAAATGTTTTTATTGTTGTGTCCTTTATTTGCTGTGTGCTGGCTTTTGCACTTACAAACATTTCACTTGCACTAGTCCACCCGGTCTATTATTTAATTTTCCATAGGCTAGTTTTACTTTAATCGGACCATTCTATGGTCTGAGCAAATGGATCTGTTAATGCATTAAAAATGCGTCCAAGCAGAGAATATATAAAATGCCGCCGTTATCATTTTATTAAATTGTTTCTGGTGTTTTTATTTTGGCCACGTTAAGAGAGATTCGCAAGAATGCCATGCTGCGATGGAGGCCCTTCCTCTACTGGACATTACTGGGGGTCTTCCACGGTTTGGTCTTCTTCTTCGGTGTCCGATGTTTGTTTCGAAATTCGGCCCTGCAAGATGACGGCCAGGTTTGTTTTCGGCTCCCCCGGACGGCTTTGTTGTACTCTGTGATTCTGAGCTCACGCGCTCTGTTTATCTTTGCATCCAGGTTTATGGGAACTGGTCATATGGCACAATCGTATTCACTGTCCTCGTCTTCACAGTCACACTAAAGGTGAATCCTAGTTGTGATGACTAACATACACCGAAGATGTTTTGCGGGAAAGTGCTAACATGTTTCATCTTGTTGTTTTGTCTGCGGTCTTCCCCTTAGCTTGCTCTGGACACACGGCACTGGACATGGATCAATCACTTTGTAATATGGGGCTCTCTTGCGTTTTACGTGCTTTTCAGCTTCTTCTGGGGGGGAATTATTTGGTGGGTAAACAGATGATCTGGCTCGTTGTGTCTCGCAGCGAGGTGTCAACATTTGTGTCCTCTGCCCTCCCGCAGGCCGTTCCTGAGGCAGCAGCGTATGTATTTTGTGTTTGCCACCATGCTGAGTTCATTGTCAGCCTGGTTGGTCATCATCGTGCTCATCGTGCTCAGCCTCCTGCCAGAAATTCTTCTGGCTGTCTTCCGCAAGCCCTTCACCCCTTTTACTCAGCAGGTAGCGCTTACTCACGCACACGTGTATACATGCAAACACTTGGCCTGCCCGCCCTCTGTTTTTTTTTTTTTCAAACACTAAACCTCCTCAGTCTCACTATTTTCTTACTGTTGGATTTAACCACGTTTGAGACACATGATGCGGCATGTTTAGTTTCTTTGGTGAACATACCAGTCTTCTCGACTGGCTATTTAAAGAAATTCGAACGGGGCGCAAAGTTGGGTACACCCGTATCTTCCTAACCTGAGACCTCATCAAGTGGGAAATGACCCATTTGCACTTACATGGTCTAAAAATATACATTATTAATTTACTACAATTATTGTATCTTGCTTCTTCTATCTGTGTCAATGACCTACAATGACAGGCAGAAGATTTAAATGCGCTTTCAATTACCGTAATGTGTTTTTCGACCTGTTTCATCCAAAAGAAAAATCGCTATGCATTCAACTAGTCACGGCCACTTTTCACACCAAGTAAATTTGTGATGAATTAAAACAAGCACATCATGATATAGTGTACAATTTTTTTTTTTGTGACACTTATGTTTAGTATTGTACTGTGGGATTTTCATTTTGGAAAAAAATGTGCCTCGGCTCTAGAAAGGCTAGCAAACTCTCTCCTAATCACATACAGTAAGAGCGACATCCAAAATTCTGCCCATAGAAAAAAAGTCCAAAAAATTATACTGCGGACCAATTAAAAAAAATGTCATTAGATTATGCTGATTAAAACTAAAACTGGCCAAATAAGCACAATTCCACCGATTATCTTTGTAAAATTTGCCAGTTTATTATGATTGTTTTTTGCCGTCACAATTGAGACAGAGCAGTGAGAGGTGTGTGCGGCTCCCAACAGGTCACTCCCGTCAATATCTGCAAATGGAAAGCATAACATAGTTTAGATATAGTGGGTTAGTGTTGACTTCTCTTACAACCACGGGCATACTGTTATAAATTAATTTCATTTTATGCTGTTTTTTTTTTTTTTTTTTTTGGTTGTTGTTGTTTCAAAGATTGTACCTATTCCATCTTTGTGTTTTATTGACATACAGACACATTTATTTCATATAGTTCGGGACATAAGGAATCCCACAGTTGAAAAACCTGATGTTACAGAAAAAAGCTGAGATCAGTTTTGTATTCCGCACCCAAAAATGAGTTCAACAGTTGTCAGACCTAAACCACCAAAAGAATCTGTTCCCCGATGTTGTTATTCCTGCGTTTATTGCTGACTTTTCCTTTTTAGATAAATAACTCCACCAAAATATTGGCAATTGTGCAGGTGTGTAATATTGTGGCTCGTGAGCATATACAGTATATTGTATAACCCTCGATTTCTAATGTAGGCTCCGACTGCTTAATATTTCTTGGTACTAATTTGCTCCACTTGAACTGCTATTCACACTTAACACTTTCTATTCACTCTGCTTCACTTTCCCTGCTCTCGCTTCCACCATGGACCCCCCTCCGGTCTCCTTTAAGATGAAGCACCGCCTTCCTTCCTCGGGGACTTCTACTATCTTCATGTTGTTGCAGACCGCTAGCACTCACAGCTTCTCTTGGAGTGACTGAGGTCTCTTTCTCTTTCTGTTACCGTTTAAGTCTCCCTGCTCTTTCTGTGTCTGCACTTTTCATTCCTTTCCCCACTGTAGTCATCTTTCTCAACCTCCACGTTAAAACGAATGAGGAAAGCGTTGTATTGAATCAGCCAGCAGGTTCAAACCTTGATTTCAATACTTGATGTTGGAGGAGCAGTGCAGAGGATGACTGAAGAGTCTATGGCCAAAACGACAACAACAAAAAAACATCCAGCTAGTCGAGTCTTTCATTATTCTGCGTGCGGTTGTGTCAGTCAGCCGTTTGTGTCCTCCCAGCTGTGTCTGCTGCTGCCGCATGTTCAGCGCAGTGGGGTCGGTTCAGCACGTCTGAGCATCCAAGTCTGCATGAGGCTCAATTTGGCAACCACATAAAGGACATGCACCGCAATCCCCCTTCTGGCCACTGCAGTCTGTGTGTCTATGCGTGTGTATGTTTGGGCGCTGCAGGGCAAGGGTGGGCCAACATTTATGCTCAAAAGTCATCATTTTTATTCTTTTTAAAATGTGAACATTTTGCCCACTCCTGGTATACAGTATTAAGGGCTGGAGCAAAATATATTCAATGTCATGCTCAATGTCTTAGTCGCTACACTCTAACCACATCAGTCAAAAATGTAAGCTTGATCTCAGGTAAGCAACTTAGGAACAGTTACTGTCGTTACTATTCTGGTTTCCTGTTGAAAAAGGCAATTTTTCCATGTTCACGTGTCTCGCCTGTATCGTCTTTGTGTGTATTTTTACTGCTTGTGTCTGACAGCAATCATGTCTGACAGCAATCATAAGACCGAAGAAGACAATGTCCGTCTCTGTGTTTGTGCGTGTGCTTGTGTGAGGGGCCACGAGGGACGCGATTCAGGATCATCTCTGAGTACCCACTACAGAAAGGCTCTCCTTCATTCCCAAACCAAATTGTTTAAGGCTCACGTTCACAGGTGGAACGCTCATACGTACGCCAGTGAAAGCCTCATTCTCCGAAAACGCTCTTGTATGCAGCAGAATTTTTTTCTCGTTGATGCAGTCGTGAAACGCACGCACACATACACGCAAACACCACTAAAACACTGTCAGTCACAGAAACGCACCAAAGAAAAAACAATTTCGCTCACATAAACTAACCAAAAACACTTATTCCAGTGCAGTGTTTCTTAAACTTGTTAGAGGTACCGAACCCAACCAGTTCATATGCACGTTCACCGAACCCTTCATGAGTGAAAAATAAAAATATGATTCAAGAAGTGTTCCTTCAGTTTTGAGTTGTTCAACTTGGCATGACAAATCATGCAGATAGGACACTGACTCCCATCACTTTCCACGATGCACCTGAATCCATGTTGTAAATATTCATGCGTCTGCCTTTTTTTTTTTTTGCTAGACATAGCATGTATTAAAAAAAAAAAAAAAATCCAAGAAAATCACACGACGTACTATCCCGACAGTCACTCGTTGACGACTGAGCAAACTAAATTTCCCACAGCACTAATTGGATAAGCAATGTAATGTGATCATCTGCCGCGGGCGTGCCATAACTAATTGACAAGTTGAATCGGGTGTGTCTTAACCTCCAAGACAAAGTCTCCGTCGAACCCCTGAGACCGATTCACCAAACCCCCGGGGTTCGATCGAACCCAGGTTGAGAACCGCTGCTCTAGTGAAATGCTGTCATACACACTAGTAGACACAGTTGTGAAATGTTCTCAGACACTTTCACCACTAGGGGTGTCCAGCCTTTTTCCCTTGACTGTCACAAACAGAAAAATAAGAAATGAATACTTTTCTGTGCATATGTAGAAAAGCGCATAAGTCGAATTATTATTATTATTAACTGTCAGGTGCTCACCACTTTTTCCACACCCGCACCTAATTGGGTTGAAGGCCATGTGTGCTGAGGGTCGCTAGAAAATGGACGGCAGGCGGCAAATGACCCCCTGGCTGTAGTTTGGAACCTCAAGACAATTTTTTTTGGGGGCGAGGGGGCGCTGGGTTCTTGGACACAATACTAAAGTGCTCTCACATTGCTAAAATCTTCTAAACTAAAATTTCATTTTTAGTTTAGAAGTGCATTTCAGCATGGTGTGTCAACGGATTTCAACTAGTGTATGTCTGAGCGTTTCACTTTGGCTTGTGTGCCAAAAAAAAAAAAAGTCTTTCAATCATAGGTATTTGAGGTCATCCTGAAGTAGGTCCCCGATTTCCCCTCATAATGCTTGCCAGCTTAGTTACGTCAATGGTGTCCTCTTGCCTCACCCTTCTAGAGGAATCCAGTTGAGTCGAATGTGGGGGCTGTCCCGTCCCCGCTGTCGTCAACCAGGCCCCTGCTCATGAGAACCTTTACAGATGAGTCCAATACGGTCATTTAAACAGGTACCAGTCCGCTCCTGGGCCTTCGAAGCCAATCTAAGACTGGCTCCCAACTCAAGCCCCCGTCAGCTGATGTCTTCACAGTCCCGGCTCCTAACTTAGTCTTACTAGGCACCCAACCCCAAACAAGACGTGGTGTGTGGCTTTGTGTTGTGAAAGTTGATATCGGTTGGCTGAAGAGATGCATTATTTCGAGCAAATTTGTTGAAATTCTTTCATTCTCTCAAATGGTTGTAAAAATCATCCCTTTTGACCAAATTGCTCCTTTCAGCCTCCCTTTTGATGCCTACCCGCTCTCACCCCTCCGCACCCGCTTCAAAAAAAAAAAAAAAATCGAAATGTTTCTCTTGAGTGTGATGATGATGCCAACGTTGTTGGGTTTCCACACCTGTCAGTGCGATTGTGTATTTGCTGTTGAAGTGCTGTGACGTGGTCATGTGTGCATGTTGGAACGATGCCTTCATTGTTAGTGTCAACCTCGGGCAGAATACATGGGATGGGCACGGTGCAAATCTCACATGATTTTAAGAATGAGCCGTGGCTACAGCACTCATCGTGGTTCTTTTCACAATCAAGAATTGGTACCCCTATTGCATTCTGTATTTATTTTTGGTGATATTTGTATCTGTTGTGGCGCCTTGAGGAAAGAGTGAACCATCTTAAGGAGCCATTGTTCGGACATTTGTGACTTGCGAGCAACAATTTTATTTACATTTTATTTGTTTTGTTGATATTTTCTTTACAGGTTGCGTATTTGTTGGTTTTTTTTGGGGGGGGGGTTAAAACGGATTAATGGCACTTTGAGTCTGTTCACTGGGGAAGATGATTTGAGATATGAATGTTTTGAGTTGCAAGCATGGTCGCCGGAACAAATGAAATGATCTCAAACTGTGTTTGACAAAAGATTCATTTTCTAGTCTTGTTTTCTTATTTTGACTGAAGCAACAACCAGTTACAAGTGTTCAATATCCAAACGGTATGAAAAAAAAAGTCGAAACCAAATTATGATAACATCAAAGCTGGTGAATTAAAAGGCTTGTGAAAAGAACCGGGATGACCACATTTTAATGAGTGGGGGGTGTTCTGGTGACTAACTACTCTTAACACTTTGGGTTTTCAGTGTCCAAAATGTTCATATTGCAGGAGGTTAAAATGGCTGCCAAACTGTCGAGTGGTATTTTTGGCAACATTTTTGCACAACGATATGAGCAACATCCTATGTCACGCTTCCCTCGGAAGCTGCAAACTTCCACCTATTCTCTCTTGCAATGTGAACATCGGAGCTTGTAGCCATTTTGTTCATAGTTGTCATGATGTTTTGTTTTTTTGTGTGTGTGTGTGTGTATGAGTGCGTATGTGTTTGGACCATATTCTGTTGTGAGAGCTAAGTGTGTGACCGCCACTTTTGAATGTGCTGCTGAACAATGGCATCAGGCGCTTAACCCCCATTTCTGTTCCCCAACTAGCTGCCCGACGGTGACCTCCTGTGCACATCCAGGTAAAGCAAAAAGACAAAAAGAGTTCTATTCACTGTTTGCCGTGGTGAGAAGGAATCAAGTACAAACACTTGGACTGTACTTAAGTAGATTTTCACTTCTCCGAGAAGTTCCCCACGTTTGAAAAGGACAGCTGCGATTTTTACCGCCTTACATGATAAAAATAGAATGATAACCATTTTTTTCCCAATCCATGCAGTTGACAAAATACAAAAATTGACAAATTGGTCAAATCAACCAAGTTTTGCTGGTTAGGGTTAGGTAGGGGTTAGGGTTTATTGGTTAGGGTTAGAGTTGTGGTTAGGGTCAGGGTTTCGGATTGGGGTTAAGGTAGTGTTAGGGTTATGTTTTGGGGGTTAGGCGAAGTGGGTAGGGATTCGGGTTAGGCCTAGGGTCAAGGTTGGGGTTAGTGGTAAGGCGTAGGGTTTGGGTTCATGTGTTAGAGTTTAGGGTTTGTGAGGAGTTAGGTTTGAGAGTTGGGGTTAGGGTTACTGTGAGGTTTAGTGGTTAGGGTAGGGTTATAGGTTAGGGGTTACGGTTTGGATTACTGGTTAGCGTTGGCAATTAGGGGTTAGGTTCGGGTGTTGAGGTTAGGGTTAGGCGTTAGGGTGGGGGTTAGGGGTTAAGGTTGCAGTTAGGATTAGGGTTAACTTTGCAAACTTTGATTTCACAGTCAAGATGGGTGAAATCCTTTTTCAATGCCTACCTGTCAAAAACATACTTGACAAATATGCTTTGGCGGCAGTAAACGGTTGGATTCCAGTTGACGAATTTAAAGGTCCATGGAAGTGAATGAGTTGAGTAAAAGATTTGACTTGGTATTTGTACGATATAACCAGAATCAAGGTCTTTACTCAATTATCTGTACTTCTACTTAAGTACAGTGTGAGCACTTCTGCCGCTTCTTTGTGTCACAGAACTTCCTTCAATCAAGAGAATTGCTTCCCTAATTTTTCTGTGCTTCTGGTTGCTGTGTTATTTCTCTGTGATGGCTTTTTGTGTGATTGTATTTTGTCTTTTTTGTTTTGGGGTTTTTTTTTGTGTGTGCTTTTTCTTTGATGGTGCATACATTTACCACATTGTTTTCTTATTTTCTTTCTCTCAGGCTGCAGCTGTGGCGACCATCTCTTACAAGCAACTGAAGGCTCGCCAGTGAACAGACGCAGCGGCGGTGGCCACATTTCAGGGTTTCGTGCCAATCAGGTCAGACGCGTGACCACCGCGGGAGGAGGCAAAACGGCACTTCTGACTCTGGGTTGGGAGGAAAGAAAAGCTCAACTCTCCGTCCTCCTTTGTTCAATTTTGACAACCTAATGTACGCAACATGCCGGCCACGTCTGACTCTAGAGCAGCGCGCTGCATTCTTTTGTAAATGTTTGTCATATACTCAGATGACAACTATTTTGTCTTTTATCTACAAATGAATGCGTACACAGCTGCCTTGTCCCGAGCTCTGACTGCTGTGTTTTAACAAGCAGTCATAACGTTACCACTCACTCAAACCGCTCGACTGCAGGGGGGGAAATAATAATTAACAAAAAAAAATGTCTTTGTAAAGCAGCGCTTTAAAGATGACAAGATAAGGCCAATGTGTGTTTAATGTTTTTATTTTTTTCTTTCCAGCATAGATCACACTTCATTCTTTTTGTCTGGATTTTTTTTTTCAATCAATCAGTCTGCAAACTTATCGCTCAAGTTGGAGAGTTTGCTGACACCCCGTCCATGCGCTCTAAAGTCCCAAAAAAATGTGCATGTGTGTCTCTGTGTGTGTGTGTGGGGGGGGGGATTAAGGAATAGATTAGCGATTTATGGGAAGTGTGGCAAAACTCATAGCGTGACCTCAATCATCACGCCACAAAGTGTTTGTGTTTAATGTGTTTAATTTAAAAAGTCCAAATTAAGAGCAGAGTAATAATATATATGCGCTATACTGCGTGGATGTTAGATGCTGAAAAGCCAAAAAGCATAAAGACTGTAACAGACGTTTGTGACTTCAGTGTGTTATTGTTTTTTTTTTTTAATTATTATTTTATTTTATTTTTTTGTGTGTGAATGCACGTGTCCACAACATTCTGTAACGTCTCGATAAAAGCCTCAAACGTTTGTTAGGACAACTTGAAAGTTGGCCATTCTCTGCATTTACTTGATAATATAGTTGCATTGATTTGCCTTTTACAGTCGTGCCTTGATTTACAAGTTTAATTTGTTTCTTGACCACGCTTGTAACTCAAAACCTTTGAAATAATTGGAATGTCATCAATTCCATCTGCCCCCCCAAAAAAAAAAAACAAACATCAGAGAAATCCCACTCTAATATTTTGCTTTATAAAAACATACAGCAATGTCATGACTAAAATCAAGCTCAAGAAATGAAACAATTTTTGCCACTTTTTTTTTTCCATCAATTCAGTGACCGTTGGGCCGCTCCTTGTGCGCATGCCTTTGCCACCTGGGGGCAGGACAATACAGACACGGCTCTGCAGTCAAAGCAAGAAACGTCAAATAAGGAACGGTGGCTCCTAATTCAAAAGTCAGATGACTTGTATCTCAAGGCACTGCTGTATTTGGGGAAAACCAAAAAAAAAAAAAAAAAAAAAAAGACAGCACTCCCAATTACACGGCAGGCATGCTGCTCTTTAAATTAAGCTAGATTTACCCAAATGTCTCAAGTTTGTGTTTCGATGATTTGTATCAATGATACTTTTCGTATGGAATCCTATTAAAATTCGTTGACCACTCCTGCACTGTTGAAGAAACGTCAATGGTTCACCAAAGCGTACGATGTGGCCCACTGTGAGTAGTTTAACAACTGCTCAAAAAAAAAAAAAACACTTGGGAGTTATATTGTGCTGTTTATGTGCTCCCTTTATTTTTTTGAGCAGTATATAATAAAATAATACTGTATACCAATACATTCCATTCAACCATCCAATTATTTTTTTCAATACACGATATCAAAGATTTGTTTTTTGACGCGAGTATATTGCTTCATATTTATTAAGCTATCACTTTACTCAGAAATGTTCTATTTTCAAGTCTTTTATTCTGGAGAGTTAGTCTGTGTTGGTATTCTTCCATAAAATGCTTTCAGGCTTTATCAGTTACAGACTGCTCTGTGCTGGCAAAATAACACAAGCCTGCTTTGTTATAAAACTTTACAAAGTGGCATCAGTAATGCATTGCCCCCCCTTTTTAAAACCTTGGTGGAGTCTTCTGCTTGTCTAAACGAGAGAATAAATCACAGAAGCGGATTGTATTTTTAACTTTTCTCTTTTCCCTTGCCACAATTTTGTAAGAAAATTAAAATGTACCAAAAAAACCCAAGAGGTTACGGACACGACCATCTTGTGCCCTTTTGGCTCGCTAGCCTTAAAACCCTCCTAAACCTCTAAGATGAATGTATTGAAGATATATTTAAATTCTGAAGGTTTTTTTTTCTCTAATAAAGACCATTTTGAAGAAAACACTCATGTTCTCGTTTCTGTGTGCGTGCGTGTGGTAATTTGAGCACACGAAGCAGACGCGGAGCAGTAATGAGATAGCAGCAAGGCTAAGCTGGATCAATCGTGTGGCTGCGGCCTCCCTCGTCTACAGTCTCAATGTCGCACAGGGTTTACAAACTTTTTTTATTTTTTTTTTAATGCAGCAAAGGCCACTTTGACATGATTCATTTGACATGAATTGGATAAAAGTAGGCCGTCAAAAATATGACTCAGGTTATGTCAACTGTCAAATGCGGTTTTTAGTATTACAAGGAGTGTCGTAAGGTCAGTGCGAGAGAAGAGGTGAGATTTGTGGCAGCTTCACCATGACAACTCGCATGCTCACAATGTCCTGAGCATCTGACGCTTCCTGGCCGAGAACATCACGGCACTGGGGCAAACTCGCAACTCGCCCTGTCTGGCTACGTGGGATTTTTCCCGCTTTTTCTAGCTACCTTGCTTCCAAGGGGAAACTTGCACTTTGAAATTTACCTTTAGAAATTTATAGTTTAATCGCATAATTGCCGACAGCATTTTTGAATGTCCCTTAAAAACAAACACAAATTTCCCCAAAGGCCACTTACCTCGATGTAACCTTTGTAGAATGCTTGACCTGGTTGACTGAGAATCTACACAGATGACAAAAACTAAATTTTTTTGGAAAATGCAGGTATTTTTCAGATTGATAGTGTGAGTTACCCTGTGACGTTCCGTCAAAGATTTGTTTCTAAATACAGGTATGTTATACATGTTCGAAGATAATTGGTAAAAACATGCCATTGGGCACCCCGGTCATAGTTTGGACCCCGCACAGGAAGTGTGTCTGCATCCATCATGTCGTCGGCCTCGCGGCCCTCGACTTGATCTAAGAAAAGACTCCATGTGGGCCGCTATGCTCACAACGACACGGTTGTTCTCCTTTGAATGTGATTGTTGTGCACCAAGTTGCTGGCTAAGGGTGTGTTGGGACTTGTCATGCTCTCTCACAAAAGCTCTCTCTTTCACAGCTGCTTCATGTCTGCGACTACAAGATCACTCACAGCCAAACAATCCTGCCCACTGTATTGCTTTCGGAGCCAAACCCATAAAACACGGGAGCATGAATTACAGTGAGGAGTTGGCTCCCTGTCAGGACTTTTTAGTGCAGAGCTGACGCACTCAAGCCCAAAGAGAGAGGGAGAGAGAGAGAGAGAGCGGGAGGGAGGGAAGCTGGAGGAGGGGCAGCAGCACAACAGGCAGCAGTGGTCGGCCGGAAGGAATCATGTTTGTTGTGAGTGACCAAACAGCTGACTGAATGTTTGCTTTCATGCAACTCAAGGTCAGCAAGTTCCGGCAGCCTGAATGAAGCTCGGCGGGGGGATGCTCACTTACACGCGACAGCCGTGTATGTAGAACGGAGGGCGAGGATGTGAAAGGCTCTGGATTACTCGACCCATCTGCCATCCGGTTTCGTGGGGGAATGGGCCCGGCCTCAATGCAGGAGGAGTCGATGACCGAGTCTCAGGAGGAGATGGAGGGCTACGGCTGCCTCCTGCAGGCCCGATCCCAGCTGGAGAGCACGCTGCAGCGTAAGTACAGGCAACGCAAACGCCACGGGTGCCAGGAAATCATGCTGGGGGTTTGCAAAAGTCTACACACCCCCTGTTCAAATGCCGGGCTTTCAATAATTAAAAAAAAAAAACAAGACACTCAGATAATTTCAAAAGTTTTTCCACCTTTATTATTATTATTATTTTTTTTTTACATCTTTCAGAGAGGGGAAGTAAAAAGTACTGAAATGTGGTTGCACAAGTGCTCACACCCTCAAACTGGAGATGCGGCTGTGTTCATAGTTGACCAGTCACAGTTAAACTCATTTCAAAAGGGGGTTAGCACACACCTACCACCATGTGAAGTGCCACTGAGTTCCTTCAAATCAAGTTCAGATGTTCTATTAAGGCCAGGCCGCTTTATATAGCGCATTTTATACATAAGGTGAAATCAGTGTGCTTTCCTTAATTAAAAAGTAAACATTGAAAAACAAATTAACGAAATAAAAGAATGTAGAGCGCAAGAAAATTGATTTTAAAAATGCTCTATAAGAGATCAGTCATAAGCATGAGGAGAAAAAGCCAAGGTGGCTTCTTTGCCTTTTTTATTTGTTTTTTTTTTTTTAATTTTGCTTTAGTTACTTAGTTATGTACTTAGTCACTCATTGTGAAAGTCGCACCCCATGCCACCATTTAAAGTGCCTCTGATTAAATGAAAATCATGTTTCGAGGTCCGAGTAGTCTTGTCCGAACTTTTTTTTACTTACTTTTCTTACGTTTTAATTACTCAGATACAGTGTTTTCATGAAAGTTACTCAGTTACAGTTGCTTGGTTATATTTTTATTCTCTTATAGCTAAAGTTTATTACTTGCAGTTTGTTACTGTTTCATTGTTTCTTAGTTTCCTACATTCCCTTTACAGAATGATCAGTCAGCTTCCATCTCATGTTAAATGGAAGCGGCGTGCCTGCAAATTGTACTCAAGTAATAATACTGTTACTTTAAAATATGTAATATGATGTGAATAAAAGTAAAAAAACAATCTTATTCAAGTTGAGGAAGTATTCAGTGGGGAAAAAATAAAATACGGACTGGTATGTATTTGTTTTCTTAATTACATCATAACCGTGGATGTTTTGCTCGGTATTATTCATGTTCCACTCGTCTGGCGTTCAAAGGGATTAGGTAACCGGTTTGAAACTGTCACAGATGGTTTCCTAATTTTCCTTTCAAATAATTTGCCTTGCAGAGCATACCCGCTGGCCACAGCAATTTGAAAAATGTGCCTTTATAAACATAAGAATGCTCCTTTTCCACTCAAGCGTGTAGTCGTCTAACACGCGGTGCTTGTTGGGACTGTGCTGTTTATGTAACTAAAGTGATCACTCAGTTTATAGTCGAGCAAAAATGCTGTAAACACTGAAAATGTTTCGAGAGTGCGTGCCATAGATCTGAAACCTGTCAGTGTACACGTTAAATAAACTTGCTCTGTCTTAAAACAGTGCAAGCGTGTATATATATTTTTTCCAATATTTTATTGATGCAATTTAGTTGCTCACCAAAGGAAGGCTGCACTGAACCCTGAAGTTTGAGTTTCGTGCAGACTCTCCCCCCCCCCCCCACCCCCACCCAAGCTAATAGGATTACCTTGGCAAGCTCATCTCATTGTTTAATTAATGGTCCTTTGCCTTTTACGTGTGTGTGTGTGTGTGTGTGTGTGTGTGTGTGTGTGTGTGTGTGTGTGTGTGTGTGTGTGTGTGTAAATTGAGACCACCGGGGGGAAAACAATCCACAGTAATATCTAAATGACAATCTTCCATCCCAAAAATTGCAATCCAAGCTTGTGTTATCAAGATTTAAAAAAAAAAAAAAAAAAAGAACAATAATAACAATAATAGGGGCGGCCGTGGTCGACTGGTCAGCCCGTCCACCTCACGGTGCAGAGGTGCAGCGTTCGATTCTGGCTCCAGCCTCCCTGTGTGGTGTTTGTATGTTCTCCCCGTGCCTGTGTGGGTTTTCTCCGGGTGCTCTGGTTTCCTCCCACATTCCAAAAACATCCAACCATTTCAGGCTGTACCCGGCCTACTGCGCGAAGACAGCTGGGATTGGCTCCAGCACACCCCACGACCCTTGTGAGGATAAGCGGATCAGAAAATGGATGGATGGGTAATAATAATAATAACAATAATAATAATAATAAAAAACACAAATCTGGATGGTTTGTATGACACAGAAGTCAATGCTGATGGGTTAATCCGTAGTGGCACTGTTGTCATGGAGATAATCCCTTTTTAAAGCATCATTTTTTTTTTTTTTTTTTTTTTTAGGCCTCTCCAGACGGGAGATCACGTTGCATCATTTAGTGATGCTAAAGTGAAGTATATTTTCCCCTCCTCATTTAAATTCATTCATGTCACTATTTCAATTTTGATAAAAAAAAATAAAACCGTGCAGAGTTCATGCATTCTTACCATTTTGAATGTGATTTTCCAAAATTAAGGCCTTCAATATCTTATATATTAATATCTAATATATTCATCTGCCATTGAAATGTCAAACACAATAAACATTGCAATACTGTATTTATTTGCAAATGTGCATGAAGTCTGCAATCGCTCTAAAAAGGTAATTTATTAAAATCTAATACACAAAAATATTTTCTGAAAATACTGTGCTGTTAGCGTTCACATTTATTGAACAAGACACCTTAAAATTGACCAGCGTGGCTTTAAAACGTCATCAATGTGCCATCCTCACTCTACTACATTTATACAAAAACCACTGCGTTTGTGTGCGCTGCTATCTTTAAACTCACACAGAATGGGAAACGCCATAAATGGGTCAACAAATAGCATCTATGTAGACGTGTTATGACCCTTCAAGCAAAACATATTTGAACACAAACTGTGGAGCAACACATGTAGACACACAACATACCACTCAGAGACATATATTTATTATCTTCTGCAAAAACAAACAAACAAAAAAAACAATGTTGTGAAACCCTTCTTCCTTTGTTTATTTTTCATACCGTGCCCATACTGACACAAAAGTCCGCTTAACTTTTTCTCATTCCCCATTTTGCTTAATGCGGCTAATGTTTTCCTGTTGGCACGCAACGCTTGTTCCCTTGACCCAGAAAGTGCCACAGCACTGGGTTGTCACTCGCTCTTAATCACGAACACGTTTGCACGTTCACGAGGGGGATTAAACACGTTCAAATTTGGAGGGGGTCTTGACAAAATCACACACAAGTATGACCGTCGTGGCTGAGGTCAAAGTTCAAAGAGTAACGCTCCTTGTATTTCTCTTGGTTAGATTTTCACAAATGTTCACAGATTATTCTTCAATGTCAGAGCATGAATCTGTAATCGTCGCATAAAAATCTGAATTGTTTGGTGGTTTTGTTCGAATTTGGTCAACGCGGCTAAGTGCCAACATGTCAGATTACTTTGCCAGACTTGAGGGATTTGCTCGGATTTGTAGCGGGCGACAACTCAACCTTGTTTTCGCCAACATTCCTCCCCGGGATTATTTGGTTCCCACCTCTACAAAAACCCGAAAGATTGGGACAAAGCTCAGAGGGATGCCGACGCAATAGACCCACCAAAAGTATGGAATGTGGGTGCGTGATTGATTATCCGGGTCATGCTGTTTGGCTGACGTCAGGCTGCTGTAAAAACTGCAAAACTCTTGCACCACCAATCCTGGAACATTATTCTTGTGATTGTATGAATGCTGAAAAGCACACAGCATGTGATTCTGAACTTATTAATGCCTTCCTGTAATTCACACTGAGTAAAATTCCCAAATAACCAGATTTTTTATATTTTATACCCCTTCTTCCACATTTCTCGACTCATTCAAACCATTTCAACTCAAAAGTTTTTGTTTCATTGGGAACATTTTGGATCTCATTTCCGCGTTCCAATAATTGCCACTTTTTTTTTCAGATTTTTCAGATTCACACTTTTGACATTTGACATATTTCTTCCACGTTACTTGACCATGTACACAATTTCACCTTTGAATTGTTTGGCTCATTCAGAGTATTGTGCCGTTTCCCCAAATTCTCGATTTTCACAATAAAATTCTGAAATGACATTTGACTCCCTCCTCCTCCACGTTTCTCAACCATTATAAACAGTTGAACATTCCAAATGTTTATATGTCATTTCGGACATCTTTTTCACATTTTCCAAATTCCCACATTTTCACAATAAAATTACCAAAGGAAGAGCATGTTTTCATATTGAACTCCTTCTTCCCCATTACAACCAATTCAAAACATTCAATTTTTTTTTTTTTTTTTTTTTGGGGTGGGGGGACTGTTTTCAAATTCACACATTTTTCATTATTCCACATGTTCAAAGTAAACATTCCCAAATGAATGCCGACATTTTCCTGCTTAACCTGCCCCTCCCACATTTCTTCACCGATTCATATTGATTTGGAATAATATCGATGTATTCATTGTCCTGACGGCAGACTTCCACTCGACTGGCCGTGGCGTTTCTCGTCACCCCCGGTGTCGACTTTAGTGGAAATGTACTGTGAAAGCATCTTCAATTCTCTCTCATGTTCCTGAAGTGCGGCACCGAGTGTAAATGTCAAGTTATTCCAGGTAACTTCATCCTGGCTCGGGCTCAGTCGCTCTCAGTTACAAACACACACACACACACACACACACACACACACACACACACACACACACACACACACGAGTGCATCAAATATTCAGCAGGTAGCAGCCAAGATCATTACACGCTCCCACAGAAGCCCGACACACCCCATTACGACCTTTGCTGCGTGCGGCCAAACGCGCGCCCGGTTCGCTCGCTCTTTCATTCACCTTCTCTCAGCTTTTTCCACCACCTTGCGTTTTCCGGCGTTCTGCTCAAATTCATTTTTAATGTCGCTCCATTGAACATGAGCAAATACTCTGGAGGGATCAAGCACCATCCTCTCGGCTATCGCATTAGTCACACAACACGTCACTTTTAGCAAGTGAGTTTGTTTTGATTTATGATTTGCTTTCGGATGTAGGAGATAAAGGTTTATTTTGGCCATGTTAGCCAGTAATCCAGCCTTCTAAGTGATGTAATGTTTTCAAATACTCCTGAAAAAGAGGATAGAAAACTTAGAGTACACCTATTATTTAGTGTGTGGACAGCTTATCATGTTATCAGGCTACAGGGTGCATGGAAGGGTTAAATACAACCACATTTGAATCCAAAAAAGCTGTGAAAAGTGAATATAAAAAAATTGAACATGTCATTTAAAAAAAAGTAACAGTCAAAAATAAAATGAGCCAGTGAAACACTAACGAGATAAACACAATCAAAGCAAATAAGACACAAAAATAAGGGCTCCAGTCTCATGCTGTGTGGAACTCCAAGCAATTATTGATTTTGTTTTTATCTTTTATTTTATTATCATGACATTTATTTTTATTTCATTAAAAATGGTAAAAATAAATGAAATGCATATTTAAAGTACATTTTGAAGAGAAAAATTTCTCTGTGGGAAAAAAATGTACACATTAAGATACAAAGAATGACAATTATTAGTAAACAACTGAGCATTTTTGTATTGGTACTTTTTTAAATGTCGTATGTCATTTACCATTTTGTTGTTTCTTTCCATCTTGCCCATCCTTTCATTAGTTGAAGTTAATGGTGTAAATGATCAATTTACGGTATATAATCAACGTTTCTAGTTTCTTATAGGTTTGTTTCACTATTTGTTCATTTATAGATTTTTTTCCTTCCCTGTGATCTCATTCGTGGAAATTGTCAAGAAACAGGACAAACGCCAGCAGAATAATGACGTTACAGTGAACATAAAACACATTTTATAAGCCATACCTCTCGTCATTGTGACGTCTTCGGAACAAAGGCGTCTCACAGTGTTGTAAATCGTTTCCCACCTCCAAGTAATGAGGTAGACCGTGTTTGAGACTTTTCTATTCTCCTGCAGAGGTGGCGGTTCCCGTGAGCATGAAGGAGGTCGGCGGCTATATCGAGAAACAGGTTGCATACTTGTCAGGTAAGGTCTTATTCTGATCGTAATGGCTACCCGCATGTGAAGTGACCTCACGGCGAAGTGCACATACTGTATGTTTGTCCGCCTCAGGTGGCCGTGGAGAAGACTCCAGCATCATCATCACGCTCCCGGAAAGCTCGGCCTTTAAGGACATACCGGAGGAGGCCTTGGCCAAAGTCTTCACTTACCTCACGCTCATCCCTCGGTGCGTCATTGCGTCTTTCTCCCTCTCTCTCTCTGTCTCTCTCTCTCTCACGAAGCTCCAGACATCTCATGAAGTAAAAAAAAATAATAATAATAATTGTGTCAATGATACTGACATGTTTACACCTTCTGAACTTCAAACTTGATCTCATTCATGACACCTCACGTCACGCCTTCTAACTATTGCGGATGCTTTTTCGTTCAGTGTCAACTCTTCAGCATCCGCATGCAATTTCGACAGATACTGCATTCTCAAGTTATTATAATTTCTCTATATCGAATCAAGAATGCCTTTGGCCACGAATTAGGTGTGATGTGCTCAGACAATAAAAATTCTGAATGTTATCAGTTTGTTCAGCAAACAGAACACCGCTTCTCAATCATGATCAAGAAAAGGCATCGCATCACATTCAATCAATTTCACTGCATGTCAGCACACGCAAAAGTCACAAAAAGAATGTATATTAAATTCATGTCTCAATGTACTCACAAACTGACTGACTCACTATGACTGTATGAATGGCACCGGGTGGATACACACTGGTTAATTGTACCATCTGCCCTCTAGTGGAAGACCATTTAATTGTTCTGCCCGTCACTGTACATCTCCGTTATGACGACAGATGAACAACAATATATTATTTGTAATAATATACGCATCATTTGCTTCGCCAGATATCAAAATTGATCACGGAAATGATATTAAACCCACACGTTTTCTGTGTGTGCTCGTTTTATGTCTGTGACTTCCCCAATTCGCTGCAGTGCGCCAAATGTGTTCAGTTGACATTCTGAGCACAGCCTCAGCATGGCCTCATCGGACAGGCACTTGTTTCAGATGTAATGCTGATGCCAGCACTTGCAGCAGTCCAGGGAATTTTCACATGGTACTGCAGTCTCCTGACAAATCGACAGAAAAGTGCTGTCAAATTTTCTGGGGGTTCCCTTATAGAGGAGAACGCTTTCCCTCATGTCTGACAATCAAACATCAACAAAATGTGGTTCAACAAAATAATGACGCGACTTCCCCACAGGACAAGGCAACCGGGTGTGAAGTTCATCATCATTTTAGACCGCAGACTGGACACGTGGGCTTCTATCAAAACTGCATTGGCCAGAATAGCAGTGAGTTTGCATGTTTTATGTTTCTTTTGATGGCGATTTTTTTTTTTTTTTTACCTGTCCTGCACGGCTGATTAGTATTGGTGTGTGGCAGCGGTGCCCAACCAGTCGATCGCGATCGAACGGTAGCCCGCAGATTCATCCCAAGTCGATCGCGAGTGGTGCAGGGCGAAATGAAAGAAAAAAAAAGTGTATCTGTGTGCGTGTTATTAATATTATATATTAGTGTGTTTGGGTACACTGCACCCTGAAGTATCCTCTCAGTTTCACTTTAGCGTGACCTGCATCAGTTGTTAGCGATGAGTGGTCTGCAATTGCAGCTTGTGATCAGGGCTGATGCGATATATCTTGGGATCCCTCCAGAAGAGTCGGAATATGCGGCTGGGGGAGGGAAGTGTGGACTTCCCTGCTAATATTGCTGACTCAGCGACCTGATCCCGGATAAGCGGTTGAAAATGATGTGGCATGGTATCGTATGCAGGAGAAACATAGTACCTGAATAATATTACAATTTTGTGTGAGTTGATTTTTGTGAGAAAAAAAATGCAGAAAAAATTTGTTCTTGAATTTAATGTTGGTTTCTTTTTCAACTGTTTTATGCTATCCCTGAATGGACATTTTTATGCACAGGAGCCTTTCGCATTGGCAAGACAAATCACTGTGTGTTTTTTTTTTTTTTTTTGGTTTGATACAATCCCTCTGTGGTTGGGTTAGGATAGTGAATCTTACTTATGTTGAGCACTTGTTTTGCAGATCTGCAAATACCTTTTCCCATATCTAAACTAGTCTTTTTGTCATGCGTTTGGTTAGCAAGGTGTGTCGTCCTATGTGCCCCCCCCCCTCCACCCCGTGTGACACAAAAATTGTGGCCACTTCCAGCATTTAATTTGTTCGCCGATGACGTAGTAGGAGGGAAATAGTACACCCCGTGAGGAAATAGCACAACAAACAGAATGACTAGGACCAGAGAGGACAGGGAAAAGATGCTGGCAAGGCTCGACAGCGGTCAAATATGTGAAGTTGTTTTACGAGGTATTCATTGAACAGTGGATATTGTTGCGAGTTTGCAGTGGCGTACAAACTGCACAGCTGCATCACTCTGAGAGCTGTTTCTGCAAAACCACCCCCCCCCCGAAAAGGCAGCGGTGCCCAACCAGTCGATCGCGATCGAACGGTAGCCCGCAGATTCATCCCAAGTCGATCGCGAGTGGTGCAGGGCGAAATGAAAGAAAAAAAAAGTGTATCTGTGTGCGTGTTATTAATATTATATATTAGTGTGTTTGGGTACACTGCACCCTGAAGTATCCTCTCAGTTTCACTTTAGCGTGACCTGCATCAGTTGTTAGCGATGAGTGGTCTGCAATTGCAGCTTGTGATCAGGGCTGATGCGATATATCTTGGGATCCCTCCAGAAGAGTCGGAATATGCGGCTGGGGGAGGGAAGTGTGGACTTCCCTGCTAATATTGCTGACTCAGCGACCTGATCCCGGATAAGCGGTTGAAAATGATGTGGCATGGTATCGTATGCAGGAGAAACATAGTACCTGAATAATATTACAATTTTGTGTGAGTTGATTTTTGTGAGAAAAAAAATGCAGAAAAAATTTGTTCTTGAATTTAATGTTGGTTTCTTTTTCAACTGTTTTATGCTATCCCTGAATGGACATTTTTATGCACAGGAGCCTTTCGCATTGGCAAGACAAATCACTGTGTGTTTTTTTTTTTTTTTTTTGGTTTGATACAATCCCTCTGTGGTTGGGTTAGGATAGTGAATCTTACTTATGTTGAGCACTTGTTTTGCAGATCTGCAAATACCTTTTCCCATATCTAAACTAGTCTTTTTGTCATGCGTTTGGTTAGCAAGGTGTGTCGTCCTATGTGCCCCCCCCCCCTCCACCCCGTGTGACACAAAAATTGTGGCCACTTCCAGCATTTAATTTGTTCGCCGATGACGTAGTAGGAGGGAAATAGTACACCCCGTGAGGAAATAGCACAACAAACAGAATGACTAGGACCAGAGAGGACAGGGAAAAGATGCTGGCAAGGCTCGACAGCGGTCAAATATGTGAAGTTGTTTTACGAGGTATTCATTGAACAGTGGATATTGTTGCGAGTTTGCAGTGGCGTACAAACTGCACAGCTGCATCACTCTGAGAGCTGTTTCTGCAAAACCACCCCCCCCCCCGAAAAAAAGTGTGATGACGCGAGGCTCTGCAGAGAGGATGAAGATGAAGATGATGAGGCAGACAGTGTTTGCCTGCATCCTTCCTTCCTCCTCGTGTGAGTGAGGCTGCCGCTGATGCTGCTATTTGCCACGTCCGTATGGAGCTGTAAAATAATTCAAGCCGATGTCCCACTGTTACAACATGGCTGAGACATGTTGCCGGAGAGGAATCGCAAAGATCCGGACCAGCCCGGTAATGACTCATTGGATGGCTTTTTTTTCCACCCTCTCGCTGCAGGAGTTTGGGTGAAGTTTGAGGGTGGGAATGCGGCAATGAGTGGAACGCTGTGCGTGTGAGTGTGTGTGCTGCGCACTTTTGCTTAGTCATGCAAGAAGCTCCGAGTAGAAGGAAAGGGAGAGCGAAGTGGGCAGAGTGTGTCATGCGTGGTCGCTAACTTGCATGCGTGCTTGATGTCACTTGGTTGACGATGGGGAGGTCACGTCAGGACAAATCAATGTCAACATTACGTCACATCCGAACGAGTCAGACAGCAATTGGAAAAGAGAACACTGCACTCATGATAAGTATCGGTTAGCATTTAAACGAAGGGTTTGCACTCTAGTCTGCATTATTCCACTTAATAAAAACATACAGTAAATAAATGTAAAGAATGATACATGCCGGGCGGCTCGGTCGTACAGTGGTTAGTGTGTCGACCTCACAGTGCAGTGGGTTCAATTCCAGCTTCGACCTCCCTATTTGGAGTTTGCATGTTCTCCCCGTGCCTGTGTGGGTTTTGTCCGGGTATTCCGGTTTCCTCCCACATTCCAAGAACATGCATGACAGGCTGATTGAACACTCCAAAATGTCCCTAGGTGTGAGTGTGAGCGCGGATGGTTGTTTGTCTTGATGTACCCTGCGATTGGCTGGCAACCGGTTCAGGGTGTCCCCCGCCTGCTGCCCGAAGATGGCTAGGATAGTTTGTGTATTCTGATAAATTCACTGGGATGCTCTTTTTGGTGTGCATGCCATGACCACCAGGGGGCAGTATGATATTTCCAGACATCGTATACATACAGTCGTGCTCATAAATTTACTTACTCCTCTGCATACGCGAACTTATGAGCACAACTGTAGCTCTGATAACGAATCACAGAGGACGATTGCTGCAAATAGGCCGAAATAATATTTGCCGTTTATCGCAGAGGATAAAGAATATATGCCTGCGTGTATTCCTACTTGCTCTGTCCACATCTGTTGTGTTACAAAGTTGTTTAAAAGATTATATTGACTAAAACATCCATACGAGTTTTCCGACTGTGTGTTACCATTAAGTTGTTGTACTTTTGAAATCCAGAGTCAAAGTCTTTGGTGGATACAAGGGATGGTTGCCCCCTCGCCCACCATCATATCCCCCCACCCCGCACGGCACTCACGGGATTCAATTTGCGGGATATAAAAATTTAATTTTTAAGATTGTTTTCATCCTTCGCATTGTGCAAACAAATTGGACAAATGTAAAAGTTCAGTACTTTTACACTATCAAGTCATATCACTTGACTGGATGTTTGTTGTACCGTATATCAAATAAGAGGTACAAAATTGAGCCAGAGACAGCTGATTTTTTTCACAGATCATATTTATCATGTACTACTGTTTTGAAATGGTGGTGTTATTTGGGAAATTATTTGAAGAACTCCCCCTTGGAATTTTTTTCTTGTGTTTTTTCATTGTGGATTCGCAGGCCTCCTTTCCCGGGAACCTCCATCTGGTCCTGGTGCTTCGACCCACCAGCTTCTTCCACCGCACCGTCACTGACATTGGCTTTCGCTTCAGCCAGGAGGACTTCATGCTCAAAATGCCCGTAAGGCAACCTCATCTATTTGCTATTGTTCAATTAGCATTATTATTATTATTTCATTATTTTTATTATTGTAAGGGTGCCAAAGAGTAAAAGATACACTGTCGGTTCACCGCACTTCAACTAAGAGACGGGAAAAACCTCAACTCATTATTATTATTAATTATGCTTTGATTTTATTTGGTCACTCGGCTTAAATATAATCTCTGCATATCGGGTGTGACCATTCAGGTGGTGATGCTGAGCTCCGTCACAGATCTGCTGAAGTACATCAATGAAAACCAGCTGACGTCAGAGTTCGGAGGCACACTGGACTACTGTCACAGCGACTGGATTGTTTTACGAACGGTACCGTATCGTAGTGGACTGTACATCGACATTAGGCACACCAGGCACACTGTATTTATATTTTAAAATACAGCAGTAGCGAGCGGGTGGTGAGTTTCGGTCCTGGGCCCGACAAGAAAAATAACACACACAAACGATTGGAAGGAAGCTGCGCAGCCAAAACATGCTCTGGAATGAAGATGAAAAATGTTGGAACAAATTTATTAACATTTCACGGAGGTTGTAGATGTACGTATGAGTAAGGAAGTTCCATTGTATATTGTATATTTTCTTGCCACTCTGTTTCTGTTGCAGGCCATTGAAAGTTTTGCCGTCACAGTGAAGGACGTGGCACACTTGCTGCAGGCCTTCGGCACTGAACTGGCCGAGACGGCCATGCCGAGTGAGTGCGACGCTATCCAGAGTCTCCTGGAGTCTCACAATGAGAAATACAAGAAGCTCAAGGTACACGTTTTGTTTCCATTTTTACAGCATATTGTTTTCAGTCATTGCAGTTAAAAAAATAGATACAATTGAAGACTACATGACTCAGCAGAAATTGCATTGTAGCCAGAATGGGGGTGGGAGGTCATTCATAAGAGTGTAGACCAAAAATAGCGACTGGGGGGCAATGCCTGCGTTACTCCCCCTCGCCTCTAGGGGCACCACGTCAAATTTTGGATTTGGAGGGTAAATGACGATAAACCTCATTAAATTAGTCTAAAAAAACATGCAAAGTTAGCAGGATAAGCACAGTGAACTATATGCAAGCATGCATGGATATGTTTTGCATTTCAAGGATTTTTTATGTATTTATTTATTTATTTATTATTTTATTTTATTTTTTTTGCAACAACTGCATAGAAAAGTTGTAGCTGCAGTTCCCATGTCCATCTCATGAGATCAGTCTGGTCAACCACACTGCAATGCTGTTAATACTAAAATTAAATTCTTTTTTTTTTTTTTTAACTCGCTTCACATGTAAGTGTACTTAATTCAAAAGGACTTATTCAGAAATATTTTTGAAATATATGTTTTTCAGATGTCTGGGCATCTGCAACAAAGTTGTGCCAGACAAATAGCCAAATAAGATAGGGCAAAAAAAACCAAAACAAAAAGTATGCCATGAATAGTTGAGCTGGAGGAATCAAATTTATGATGTTTCTTACCTGCTTTTTCTGACAAAACAAACAAACTGGAAATGAATGTTCTATTGTTCAAAAATGTTGCCTAAATTTCCCTCCAATTATGCAACAACCAATTTCTTCTTACAAATGTTATTGTAGCTCATGACGTTGTGTTAAATGCTCTCTCCCATGGCAGGAGGCCATTCGATCTTTGTCAAGAGAGGGACGACATCTTCTCGCAAGCCTGGAGACCACTACCACCACCACCACCAGCACCACCACTACCAGGGACAACGACGACCCTCACTGGGATGTCCATCTGGACTGGGAGACGGTTCAACGGTCAGAGATCAATGAGATGCTGGAGTGCATCACTTGTAAATGACCACATTTGTTTTTTATTCTTGCTTTTTCGCAGGCTCCTGACCCAACTCCGAGACATGGAGTTGGCCTTCGATGGCTACTTTGAGAAGCACATTCAGAAATTGGATCAGTACCTGCAGCTACTCACATACGAGCAAAGCTTTCAAGAGGTAAACATCATTTTGCTATTTCACCATCCAAAGAAAACACTTACCAGAATAATGTCGTATCCGTAAGAAAAAATGTCATACATGGTATTTCAAGAAAACAATAGGAAATATTTCTAGATGGAAAGCCTTTTTTTCCAGATTCAAGTTGTATATTTTCCAGGGGGAAAAAAGTTTTTTTTAACATGTAAATTGTATTTTATAGATTAAGTTCACAATATTATGAGAATAAAGTTTTATATTTTTGAGATCAAATGATGCAAAATTCCCTGAAAAAAGTTTTGGTTGTTTATATTTCAAGAAATAAATGACGCATGTTCAAGGTAAAATGCTCTTTTTTTAAATTAAAATTATATATTAACTATAATGAAGTCATATATTACTTTTTAGAGTTGAAACTTCATGAGATTAAAGTCTTCATATTTTGAGAAGAAGTTCTGATTTTTTTTGATAATTTATTTTCTTTTTTCCAGAGTAAAAAAAAAATTCCATATATTCCAGAAAGTCATATTTTTTATTGAAGTTGTTGAATGTTTAGATTGAAGTTCTAATCCTATTTCCCGCCCATAAAAAAAAAAAGTAAACTAAATAAATAATTCAAAACAAATATGTGGGATTATTGTATAATCTCATTTAATAGTAAAAAAAATGTCTGTCATACCCAGTAGATCTCCTCACCCGCTACCAATCCCAATTGTGACTTCAAACGTCTTCAAACGTTCATTTCTCCCTATTGACTTTGTGTTGATGACATTTCAGATGGAGTCATGCCTGTCTCGTGTGACGTCTCAGCAGAGTGAGCTGTCCACGACGGTAAACACTCTGGCTCAAGCAGAGCAGGCTCTCCAACAGCTGGACACTTTGGAAACTCTTGCTCAGGTTTGTCACGCGTGCCCCGATATGTGCCCTGAGATGGACCGGCAACCGGGCTGGAGATCAGTTTCGAGTTGCCGCGTGCTGCTTTTTGGGCCGACAGGAAGTGATGTCACGCGCCCAGATGGTTGTTCTTCACGGGCACCAGCTGTCAGCGGGTCACCACTACGCCACGGCCCTCATCATGCAACGCTGCAACGAGCTGCGGCATCACTGCGATAGCCTCGACGCTGCTCTGGGCAACAAACGCTGTCGTCTCTTGCAAGCGCAGCAGCTCCTCCTGTCTCTGGACCAGGTAGATCCATGAATGAACTGCCATTTTATTTCCTTACTTACTTTTGTAAATTTCTAGACGCAACCGAGGCGTTGAGGGGGTCCGGTTTGGTGGCCTCGGTATTGCATCTCTGCTTTTTGCAGATGATGTGGTACTGTTGGCTTCTTCTGGCAGGGCTCTCCAAATCTCACTGGAGCATTTCGCAGCCGAGTGTGAAGCGGTTGGGATGAAAATCAGTACCTCCAAATCTGAAACAATGGTCCTCATTCGGAAAAGGGCGGAATGCCCTCTCCGGGTCGGGAAGGAGATCTTAAAGTGGAGGAGTTTAAGTATCTTGGGGTCTTGTTCACGAGCGAGGGCAGGAAGGAATGGGAGATGGACCGGCGGATCGGCGCAGCGTCTGCTGTGATGCGGACTTTGTATCGGTCTGTCGTGGTAAAGAAGGAGCTGAGCCAAAAGACAAAGCTCTCAATTTACCGGTCGATCTATGTTCCAACCCTCACCTATGGTCACGAGCTATGGGTTGTGTCCGACAAACAAGATCCCGGATACAAGTAGCTGAGATGGGTTTTATCCCCAGAGTGTCCAGGCTCTCCCTTAGAGATAAGGTGAGAAGCTCGGTCATCCGGGAGAGGCTCAAAGTTGAGCCGCTTCTCCTCCACGTTGAGAGGAGCCAGATGAGGTGGCTCGGGCATGAGGATGCCTCCTGGATACCTCCCTGATGAGGTGTTCTGGGCATGTCCCACCGGCAGGAGGCCCCGGGGACAACCCAGGACTCGCTGGAGAGACTATGTCTCCAAGCTGGCCTGTGATCCCCGGGAAGAACTGGAAGAAGTGGCTGGGGAGAGGGACATCTGGGCTTCCCTGCTAAAGCTGCTGCCCTCGCGACCTGGATGTGGTCGAAGATGGATGGATGGATGTAATATTGTTCATTTTCTAATCTTAGTACACGAGGTGAATCGGTACTGTATCATGTCTTTTTTTTTTTTTAAACACAAAGCATTTGAAATTGAACTACAGGCATCTTTGCTTGTGCAGATAAATATGAGAGTACCGATAATCTTTTGCTCATAAAATTTGGCTTACTCCTGAATAATTTGTCTGCATCCCGTCTGAAACGACCGATGACCTGAGTTTAGCCGTATCCTGACCCACTTTAGGCCCAGACCTGGTGTGATGAAGCAGCCTATATGTTGGCCAATCAACTTGTGGAGAAGTTCCAGTCCAAGGAAGGGGCGCAGACTGCTTTGAAGGCCATCGAGAGCTTCCTGGAGGGCTCGCCGTCCATAATGACATCTGGCCCTGAAGTTCTGGCTCTGGAGTATGAAGCTGTCATCACCCCTCATCTACAGGTCCGGCACATTTAGTTTTAAGTGCTAGAGAATCAAGAGTCTGAACGGGCACTTGTACATCTTTATTTTCATCGGTCAGGGGAAGATAGAAAAAACGTTTGAGAAGCACACAGCGGTGCAACAGATGATCCAGAACCGACAAGCTGGTCTGAGGAAGCTGGCCGACAAACACGTCCGACCGGTCCAGCTGGTGGCCCCCCGTGCTGAGAACCCACCTCGCTCCAAATCGCCAATATTCTCCCCCAAGCATGGTACGGTCTAAATTTCTTGAAGAAAAACATTCCCTTTCAAAAGTCACCCAAACAATTATTTGTACTACAAAACTTTGATATAATTCATCAAAGACAATTAATTAGTAAATATGAATTGTATGTATTTTTTTTATATTGAAAATCAACATGATTTTATTACATTGTGACACGATTTTAATATGAAAATATTTTAATTCACTTTTATTTCATGCATACATATGTACTATAGGTGGTTATGTTTTGGAGGAGAAAAATGCATAGGAAACTATTGCCATTCATTGCCTTTTGACAACCTTATGTTATTTTATTTTATTTATTTCATTATTATTATATATATTTTTTTTGGTTCAATTATTTCTTGTTCATGAGCATACTTGGTTAATGTTTCATGGGGGTCATTTTATGTCAGAGTAACTTTGTAGCTTCAATGCGTTGATGGCTTTTCATGTACTAGAGTGAATTTTCACTATTTGCAACGCGGCCCGGTCTCAGTCCCCGACAAACAGCGACAAAATTAGTGAATAATCAAACGCTACCGCCAGGTCCAAAGGAGCTTATAAGTGCATATAGATGCCACAAGATAAAACAGAGGACGGTCATAAAGCACCAACACAATGCATGTCCACAATCATGAACCCATGTTACATATAGTAAATAACTGTGTTCAGTAATCAAATTCCATCTTCAGCACAAACACATCACCTTCACATGAAGCTCATCAACAGTCCAAACGAGCTTACTAGCCTAAATATTACCCTAGCAGAAACTAATATGACGCTGCACATGGGCCAAAAGCTGCCATATTTCAATCCGCTGACAGTCTGATTTGCTTGTTACAGCTGAGGCTTTGAAGTTCACGTTTGATCTCCCTTTGCCCGGAAAGAGAGCGTCCCGAAAAGGTCCCAATGCTCGCAAAGTAAGACAGTTATCCACTCTTCTGTTTTTTTGTTTTTTTTTTTAGGGGGGGTGTAAACATGAATTAAAATTCATATATTTGTCCAGATTGAGGTCATTCACGACTACCAGGAGAGCCGCAGCTGTGTGTCGTATGGCGTGGAAGGTGAAGACAGCCCAGATGTCCTCAAGCGGTGAGTGAGGACGCGTCCATCTGTCCGTCTCTTGATGTTCGAGTCTTTGATTCGCTCTAAAACAGGTTGAGACAAAAAAGTATCGTTCTGGACCCACAGAGCTTTTTATTTTTAGTTTCCTCACGAGGTTTGTGGCGGGTTTATTTTAATGGACAGAATTTTGTTATATCCGGTGAACATCACCGTTTGGCTTTTGCAATTTCATTTGCTGGAAAAACAGACCTGAATCTTGAGTTTTTGTGCCAGCGTCTTGGTGCCGATCAACGATGTCCATCGCAAACAAACTCATAAATTGAGGAGTGTGTCTTTGTGTGTGTGTGTGCGCGTCACAGTCACGTGATGCGGGAGCTCATTGAGACGGAGAGGATCTACGTGGAAGAGCTGCTGTCGGTCCTTCTTGTGAGAGCAAACCTCCTCCTCCTCTTCCTCCTCCTCAACACACGCGATGAGGTCGTCAGGCCGACTGACTGTGATGCCGTTGCAGGGCTACAAAGCAGAGATGGAAAACCCACATCTGGCTGCTCTCCTGCCGCCTGTCCTGCACGCAAAGAGAGGCGTCCTCTTCGGAAACATGCCCGACATCTACAACTTTCATAGCAGGCAAGCCCTACATGGCAGCAGCCACATATGAAGACCAACCAAGAGAGAGAGAGAGAATATTTTTGTTCTTTTCGTGTATGAACTCAAATTATGTGTCTCATTGTTTGTCCCTAACCTTTTTGTGGGGTGGGGGTGCAACCTAGCTTGTTTCTCCAGGACCTTGAGGGATGCCTGGACACTCCCGAAGGTGTGGGACTTTGCTTTCTTGCCAGGGTGAGAAGCAACTTCTTATAAAATATGGCTGAGTTATTATTTGCAAACGTTTTTTTTGTCTCCCCCCCCCCCCAAAAAATGTTGAGCATTCATGTGTCGGCAGAAGGAGAACTTCCAAATGTATGAATGCTACTGTCAGAATAAGCCGCGTTCCGACGCTCTGTGGCGGCAGTTCTCAGATTGCGCCTTCTTTCAGGTAGTAATAATCTGCGCGCATGAATATGTCCCCAGTCACGACTTGCCTGTTTAACTCACAAAATGTCAAATATTTCTTCAGGAGTGTCAGAAGAAGCTGGGCCACAAACTAGGCCTGGACTCTTACCTGCTGAAACCAGTCCAACGCCTCACCAAGTATCAACTACTGCTCAAGGTGGGTCAATAGAGGAATAATATCAAAAAACAGTTAAACAGAAAAATTCAAATGCAAATCGTGTAGGTTTTCTGTTCAACTTTTCAGTCCACTTCCAAATTGCTCACTTACTTTGATGTAATGTCAATTCATTTGAACCGGAAAAAAAGAGAACATCACAAGTTGCAATGGTCGTTTAATACTTGCCATAGATAACCTCTCACTTCAGCGTTTCTCACGAAGTTTTCAAGACTCCTGAGAATGTCTCCACAAGGGGGCGCAAATTCACATTACAAATCACGACGCCATGAAAATAGAAACAAATTCACATCGCATTTCTGTGGCACAGAAAAGTGTGGCCACACATATCGGACATACCAGAAGTATCTTTCAATATTGCTCAGTTTAGATTAAAACATAATTTAAAAAATCAGTCACAAATGATTGTCCTTTAAATGTTGATGCGTGTGCTCCTAGGAGCTGCTGAAACACAGCACCGACTGCGAGGGATCATCTGAGCTGCAGGGGGCGCTATTAGCCATGCTGGACCTGCTCAAATCCGTCAACGACTCCATGCATCAGATTGCCATCACAGGATATGAGGCGAGTCCTGCAAATCTGGCTTTTGTGTTTTTTTTGTACCTACTGTTTTCAATATCACTAAGCATCTCCCTTGCGCTATCTCAGGGGGACATTTGCGAGCTGGGCCGCGTATTGATGCAGGGCTCTTTCAGTGTGTGGATCAGCCACAAGAAAGTGCCCACACGCATGAAGGAGTTGGCCCGCTTCAAACCCATGCAGCGCCACCTTTTCCTCTACGAGAGTGTGTTGCTCTTCTGCAAGAAGCGGGAAGAGCACGGGGACAGCTGCGATAAGACGCCCTCGTACGGCTTCAAGCACTGCATCAAGGTTGGCCTTTCACTCGCAGCCGTCCATCCGCTTCACATACGGCCTTTTCCCTAAAATTTTGGGGTTAAGCTAACACTAAGGCAATTGGGAAAAAAGGGGAAAAAAGACTTTATTCGTGCAATATTGATTTTTTTCACTGCGACAAAATACGTCTTTGTTTGAGTAAAGATTAGGAGTTTATCTTGAAAAAAAATACAACTTTATTCTCATGACATTGCAATTTTTTTCATGGAAACACAGCCAACTTTTTGATTCCTATTACACTTAGGGGTAAATATGTCAATTATGTTTAGCTCTAACTACCGTCAACATTATGAGGAGGGTCCTTGGGAAAATGTCTCACCAACCGCCAAAAAAATCATCGCAATAAGAAACGTTTTATTTTTTTCTATGAACACCTCTCTGACAGTGACAGTCAAAACTGAGCGTAATTATTCGGCATTTTCACTTGCGCTGATTGGACTGTGAATGTGTTTTTAATAATATCCTGTCCCTATTTATAGAACAATCTTATATCATCTGCTAGAGGGCTATTAAAAGTGTTGTCATCATCTGACCGATCTCTTTTTTTCTACTTTTGGGATGTGGTGATCCGTTGAGTTTTGTTTAATTATTATGATAGATGTCACAAGTTTGATGAAAGTCAGACCTGTGGTGTGTGTGTGTGTGTGTGTGTGTGTGTGTGTGTGTGTGTGTCTGTCTGTCTTGGCAGATGACTGCTGTGGGGATCACAGAGAACGTCAAAGGAGACCCCAGGAAGTTTGAAATCTGGTACAGTGGCAGGGAGGAGGTATACGTGGTCCAGGTACGGAGTCGGTAAAAGAAGTGAATGGTCACTCAACTGCAAACAGGTCCCAGAGCAACGTACGCCTGACTCTGTTGTACTGTATTTCAGGCTCCCAGCGTGGTGGTGAAGATGTCCTGGCTCAGCGAGCTGCGCCGAATCTTGACCAACCAGCAGAAGTTATTGCGAGGTCAGCGGTGGAATAGATTAATTGTCATTTAATATTATAAAGTCTGGTTTAGAATCATTAAAACTATGTGATTGTGAATGTTATAGTGCAGAGACAGTGGTGCTATTAGATACGAGTCTTATTCATTCCGTGACCACGTCCCATCGGTCCATTTCAACCCTCCAAAAAAACAAACTTAAAAAAATATGCCATATGTTTTTATTAAGAACAATAGCACTCATCCCCGGCTCTGGCCTTTCTGTGTGGAGTTTGCATGTTCTCCCCGTGCCTGTGTGAGTTTTCTCCAGGTACTCTGGTTTCCTCCCACGTTCCAAAAACATGCATGGCAGGCTGATTGAACACTCTAAATTTTCCCTAGGTGTGAGTGTGAGTGCGGTTAGTTGTTCGTCTCTTTTATTGCCCGTTCTTGTGTTTGTGCACATTGGCCACCTGGGGGCAGATGAGAGAAGTTTCACAAGTGGCTTAGTAAGCTGCAGAAATAGCAATTGTTCTTCGCAGAGGATCAAGAAAATATTCTCTTTTATCTCTTCATGTGTTGCCCCCCCCCCACTTGTGTTCAAATGGCCATTGCTAAAAGGGTTTTAATAATGCAATACTGATGCTTTGTTATCCTGTTAGCATTAAGACAAACAGACGTATAGTATTAAACGCAAAGTGATGCGGTTGTTTTAATTCCACACAAGTAATGACTTGACTCAACTTGCTTAAAATTGAGAGGGAAATCTTCTTGCTGGATAATTTGCCACAGTAACTTTGGACTTGTTTGAAACTTGAAGGTTCAGACTTGAGACTTAGTTGTGACTTACTCCCACCACTGGGAAAGAGTCAGCTGATACCCCGTTGTATGTTCTCCTTCCAGATGAGGTTCATCAAAATGGACAACCAGTAGAGCACATGCATCTTTCTCCACCACCTTGTGAAAGGTCAGTGCCCCCTTTTTTGAATTATTTTGGACATTTTCACAATGTTTTTGAACAATAGGCGCCAGGATACTTCAGTGTGGTCAAAAGTGACTTCCACTGACTTGTACTGAAATTGATGGCAAAAACCTGTCAAGTTTGGGGTTGGGCCCCAATTAAACACTAAATCCCAGAGTATTTCGGCGTAGATGTGATAAATATTTGTTTAGAGAAGCTTGCAAGCCCACTGGGTGGCATCATTGCAGCTTCCATCATTGGGTTTGACATTTTCTCACAGGTAGGTCTTTGTGAAAGGTTTGTTTGGGTTCTCTTTGAGTAATTTAGCAAAACAATGGCGAGCCTGTTTGCTAAGCTAACGTCCACTCTTTTGCGACCCACCCATTTCACTGTCAAAAAGTGTCCGTGAAAGAATCTGAGCAACAGAAAAGTGACTAGTGGCTAGCAGTCAATGAGCTAGCGGCTAGCTCATTGACTGCTAGCACTCCCTCTTGATTATGCTAACTAGGTCTGAATTATGGCCACCGTGTAACATCATCTTTTCATCCTACTCATGGGTTGGTTCACGAATGGTGCCATCTGAGTGACATCATGGTGAAAAGGTCTATTGTGCTTCAAATATTCCGCATACAAAACACATCTGGTCACCTGTCGAGTGTTACAAGCTGCCTAGTTTTATGTTGGCACTGTCGATACAGCTTGGATCAGAGTGACATCATCACATAGACGGAGTCCAAGGCTTTGCGTGGGCGCAGCAGCCACTGTGTCCAACTGTGTGTGGTTGCTCCCCCATCCCCACCCCAAACACCCACCCCCTCACTGCAGAGCCATGCGGCCGTCCAGAGGGGCTCCAAGGGGCTGTCTGCCGGGGCTGCGCTTGGTCTCGGCAACATCCGACGCGTTTATGTGCCTGCGCTCCCAAAGCCCCTGTACCCGAAGCCCCCGGCAACGGCCCCGCCTACGCCCCCAGTGCCACTGACCTGCCGTAGAAGCTCAGTGGTAAACTTAGCCCACGTGTTTGCATAGTGGCCGTGACTTTGCCCATCACACGGAACGCGTTTTGCATGCAAAAAAGCAAACGGGAATCGTGGACTCTGTTCACCGAGCCGTTCTGGGTGAAGACAACCTTAGGTACTACGCATGCAATCGATCCATCCATCCATTTTCTATGCAACTTGTCCTCATTGGGATTTCAAGTCCGCTGGATCCCATCCCAGCTGACTATTGATGATATGTGTAAGTGACTGGTCACCAACCAATCACTCACATTCACATCTATGGACAGCTGACTTCTTTCAAAGTCGGATGGGATCGACTCCAGCTCACCGCGACTCATGGGCAAAAGCGCTATAGAAAATAGATGAATAAATTAATACGACACTGACAATCCTAACAAATGAAGTTGTCATCATTGTGCAGGTGTACCTAATGTTGTGTCCTCTAATGTTGTCCGCCTGAACAGGGCTGAGGTGGAGCCCCGTGCATTCTCCTTAATTTGTCATCACAACATTTTATGGTGCTTGTTATCTGCTCCCCGAAACTAAAACAAGGGAGGGATGTCTTTTTTTTTTTTTTTCTGAACTTGGATCTTGTCACAAGCTTCTCTCATGCTGGCTAAACACACAAACACAGTCCATCCTCTGTCAATAGAGAAGCTTGCACATGGCTGCTTCATGTCGCCCATCATGCCGTCTGGCTGTCCGGATGCTCATATACATACGCAGGCAGCTGTACGGCGGTAGTTCCATTTGGGCCAGCTTGACTTCCATTTCCCAAACAAATAACACAATGTCTCTTCTGTGTCATTGCTACCAGTAAGCAACAGAGGGCGTCGGTGAGCTCGGAGGACACCGAGTCGGTGAAGAGCAGCCCGGACGGCCAGCGGCGTGCCCCCAAACGCCAGCTCAACCGCAGGAGTGCGTAAATCTCATTCTCCGTACATGGCATGCAACGCAATCAAGAAAATATAATTTTGTCTCCACGATGCCACAACAGTGGCTTATCTCCAGTATACGCCGCGCTATTCCTTATGTTAAATATTTTGATTCGTTCTATATCAGAGGTGGCAAAACAAAAAGTACAGATCCCTGAAAAAAAATAAAAAAATCAATGTACCACCATTGTTCATCACTCAAGAGAAAGTTTGTGTAGGTTGGCCAGGAGCTCATCATGACTCGGTGAACATCTGCGAAGGTCTGGACGAGACGGGCAGCGGCCGAGACGCTTTCCACCAACCGGACATGCAGCTGGTGAAACTGGTGAGACGCTGCATTACAAGCAGTCCACTTTGGTTTGGTTTGATATGACCGCGTGGGTTTTTTCCACTTCCCGTGTGAAAAAGTAAAACATTTCTCGACCCTTGAGAACAGGGGCGTCAAACTCATTTTTTGTCGCGACCCACTTCGGAGTTACGGCTTCCCTTGGAGGGCCGATGTAAAATCTCAACATTATTTCTTGCCCGGGACAATTTGACATTTCGGTACAGATTTCAGCAAGGATCATGAAAGTTGACACACATGATTTGCTCCCGCGGGCCACATAAAATGACGTGTCGGGCCGGATCTGGCCCCCGGGCCTTGGCTTTGACACCTGTGCTTTAGAATGTTACACCAAAAATGACCGTTGGTGTTTGTCTCTGGTAGGTGAGATAAATAGGCGGACTCAATACATACAATTCAGAATTGAAGAAGCCTTTTGGATTAAAGGTGAAATGTCATCAACGATCAAGTCCAACTGCTGCCATTCAGGTTAGGAGCCAATGTCAGAAATGTCTCATTAATTCAGGTTATAGTCACCACCAAACAAGGAGTAGTGACGATGTCTTACCTTGAATCCAAAAGCCTTAAAGGGTCACTTGCAATGGATCATCACTACTCTTCAGCAATGCAGTGCGTTGGGCCGAAACATCGTATGTCCGTTTGATCAATGTAATATTTTTTCATAAATCGATAATGTTGGTCAGTTCACCTGTGTTATTTTGAGCAATCTTAAGGATTGAAAAGTGATATATCTCTTGAATGTTAATGGCTCAACACTGATGGAATCTGTTTGCGCCCGCCAGTCTCGAGGCAGATATCGGGCCTTGGCGGACTGCCTTCAAAACGGACCGGACAGCGTACTCATCAAATGCGGTGATGTCATCCAGTTGATGTGCGAAGACAGCAAAGGCCGCTGGTGAGTATGGCGTCCTGTCACCATCAGCGAGGCAAACATACACTAAAAAATAAATGGTGTGTTGAATTTACTCCATTTTTGTTCGTCAAGCGACACATGCAAATTAGTGCATGAAAGCATTTCAGTAGTTTATAGGAAAGACTTTCAGCCCTGCACATGGCCAAAAAAGAATCATTTGTATGGGTGTGTGCATGTGTGTGAGTAAGAGAGAGAGAGAGAGAGAGGTCATCCTAAATCACCACATCCAACAGTATGTATGTACATATTTGTCATCCTTTTCCTCCCCACTTCCCTGTCAGGCTGGTGAAAAATCTGAGTCGACAACAAGATGGCTTCATTGCGTCCGCCAGCCTGCAAGTGACCATAAGAGGGGGCAGTCGAGCAGGCTCTTCCAGACTCAGGGGTAAAACGATTTTGAATTTGAGTAGAGGCAGAAATAGTAAATCTCTCTCATGCTTAAGAACAACTACAGATATTGGATCTCATTAAAAAAATAGGCACTCATAAAAGTCACATTAACAAAGTATTGTTATTTGTTATTGTATTTTTGTGACTTCCCACCGCTGGATTTGAGCATCCAAGATGTTGACTTTGATTCTGTCCCACTTTATTTTTCATTGCAGAAACAGGCAAAGTCAGGACAAGAAAGCTCAGTTCTCCATAGAGAACAAGACCCGTGATGAGACCAAAGAAGGACGTTCCGTCCTGGTTTTGTGGCACTTTAAGGCATTGGACTTCTTTACATTCTCACAGGTTGGGATTGACAATCCGTACCCCCTCTGCGCCCCCACACAGCCTCTGTGTTGTCAATGTATGCCAAGCACAAAAACTGTGGGAGTATTGCATCGTTTTCCCAGCATTCCACAGTGCTGATATGAGCGGGAGTGGCTCACTTTTTGGCAACTTCCTCCGTCATGTGCTTTTGGCTTTACTGAATGGACGCTCAGTCTAGGAGAAATCCTCAAATTTTCAATCCCAGAGAATGTAGTTTGAAGAAAATCATGGACCTGAAGATCATTGCACGCATTCATCAGAAAGCGCTGATATCATTGCAGTACTCCTATCAGACAGTAGGGGGCTTCTTGTACTTTCCTATGTATCTGATGGCTGCTGTGATCCAATTTTTTTAGACATCCGGTTGACATCACACCCAGTTTTTAAGGGAATTTCTAGTCATTTGTGTACTGTTTAATTCCTCGTGTGCTCTTCTGTACGCAAGTGCCAAAATGTTTTTTTTCATCTCCTCTTGAGGCAGCGTATCGTCTATCCGCTTTTGTCTGAGCAAGAAAAATGTTTTGATCAGTTAAGAATGAAGACAAAAACTTTCATAACAATGTAGGAACGTGGCCTTTGTGTGCGTTTGCCGTGTTCCTGGCTGCTTCCCGTGTTTGTGTGTATGAATGAGGCGGGGGCGTGCCATGTGCACCACCAACTTTCAGCAGCGCTCTATTTAATACAGTGAACTCCCGTTTATCGTTGGGGAAAGCGTTCCAGAGCCAACCGTCAAAAGCCACATGTAAACGGATAGACATTTATTTAAAGACACTTTTTAAGGATCCCCTCGCGCCCGTTCTCACCTCTCCTTCTGTCAAAAAAAGGGAGACTGTATGACATCGCCCTAGCAACGAGCAACATGGCCAAACGCGACTGGATTGGACAATTGTGGAGGAAATGCAGTCGGCGACTCACACCCGCACACATACAATCATCCCAGGCGATGTGTTCACTTTTTTATGGCGTCACTCCTTTGTGGATTTTTTTTTCCTCCAGATCGCTGTATCATACCATATCGTATTTTTCCACATGGCCTGTCACTGTTGAGCAATAAATGCAAGCCAGGAGGCAAAAGTGCCTAAAAGACAGCGAATGTCTCAAGTTTGGAATCATTTCACACTTCATCAAAAAAAAATCTGAATTTTAATGTACCTATTGCAATGTATGACCGGTACAAATTACACAACTGCTCGTCTAGGGCGAAGTTCACATTGTTCGTTGATTTAATATAACCAACCACCACCACCAGTTCGAACGAATTGCTCCCTCCTCATTTCCTGTTGTTAGCCCCGCCCTCCAAGCTTCCGTCACACAAGCAGCTAACTTAATGTGAGAGGGGATCATGATGACACCACCGTGTGTTCAACACTATATTAAATATTCACGCTTATTTAAATTTACCAAATCCGATTGAAGGCTCCCGTTGGGGAGCCGTTTTGGAACGGCCGCGGCGTTTGATATGGAAATATTTCTTGGAAGCAGCAGGCGCCTGGTCACATGACATGTTTCCTTTGTTCAAATATTTATTTTGCCTTCCCTTTGCGAGCTGTCCCGAATGAAATCACATCTGCGTTTATTCACAAGAGCCACGAGCGCTTGATTGCTTTCGCAAACAAAACGAGCGGATGTTTTGTTATAACTGTCATCAAAAATGCTGCAGATTTTGCACAGATTTTCCAAACACGGGAAACCACATCAAATAAAAGCTTGAAGTGTAAATTCATCATGTCAAGCCAAGAAGCCTAAACTTAGCGACAAATGTTTCTTTATTGCAACTGGGCAGACTAGTATTGTTAGATTTAGTTGTACATTTTTAGCTACAAAACTACAAAGATATTTATTGCAATAACCGCTGTGTATATACGCCTACACTTTTGGTAATTAGTGTTTCAGAAATGCAATACTGGTCCATAAACGCCGATTGAATCAATGTGTTCCATTTTCAGCGTTTTGATTAAAGCCTACGAAACATTAAAATGGTGCGAATGTTCTTTTCGTGACTTTTGGCCCACAATACTGTTGATTGTGCTTCTGCGCTTTTCTTTCTCACCAGCAGATGGCAGCAATGCAGCGGTGCAGCAGTTTGACATGCAGCACTGTACGGTCTGTATGCCATCTTGTGCCCAAATTGTAAACTTGGAATGCAAAGTAGATGGGTGTACACAGGTTTTTGTCCAGTCTCTTTTCTTCTATTTCCTTTTAAGTATCGTTTGGACCGATTCAAAAATTGACTTTGGAACAAGTTGTTGATCGTGATAATCTTTTCCGCTTGAAGCCTTTGAACAACCTGACGTTTGTGTGCGTAAAGCTTCGTCGCCCGGCGCTCCCAAGCGAGTTTTTGTTGATGCCGAGTTCAAATCGCAGCGTGACGTGATTTCTTGCAAACGACGGTCGGTCAAGTTGCCGAGTCTGTTTGTAATGGCCGCCTCATCCTGCCTTTAAAATATCCACACGCAAGCTTGCATGTGCCAGAGTTCCAAGGTGTTCTCCCCGTAAAAATTACGATGACGTTTTCAGAGGCGCCACTTGCCCTGTTTTAATTATTTGTGAGAAATGTGGGCAGACAAATAGACCCTGCACTTGGGTAATGTTGTCAATTTATGTTATTGAGATTTAAGCTTCTTTTTTTTTTCAATTGAAGATACATGAAATCAAGAGTCATTGTGAGGCAGATGTGCTAGCCATTCACCCAGCATGCCCTTGGCAGTGTTCCACCACTGTGAGTTGTAAACATGATGACGTCTTAACATACGAGCATGGTTGCCTCGTGTTACTTCAACAGCATTGACTCTATTAAATGTAAAATCGACCAGATTTCATGCAAATTCCAATTGATTTCGTCATGTTCATTTCCCAACATGACATTACTGATTACAAGTGAGGATGAAGTAAAAGAAGCAGTCAGCCGTTAGCCTTTTCTTCAAGCGTGTGTTTAATGCGTACAGTTAACAAATATTCACTCTGTATGATAAGCCATTATGACAATCTCCCAAATTAGGTGTAATCCCAAACTGCTCTTATCAAGGTTGCTCGTCACATCTCAAATTCATCCTTGCAGAAAAGAGCTTGTTCAAGGACCTACAGTTGAATTGCCAAGTGTACCGCAATGGCGTTTTTTTTTTATTTTTTTACCATTCGATACCATCTTCAAAATCTGACATTTCCTCATTGTGTTGTTCCAACCCGTGGGTCATGTTGTGGATCCAGTTGACGTAAAGAGACACACGCGTGTACACCCCATACTTGCCATCTTTTGCGCACTCTTCCCCCCAGCTCACGATGCCCGTCAGGAACCAAGTGTTGTGGAGCTTGTTGGCGTGAGGCCCCCCACTGTCCCCCTGGCACGCATCTTTGGCCTGGTTATAGTAGCCAGCGCAGAACATGGCAGGTGTGATCCTGACGCTGCTGGTGCGCATGCACTCGGCCCGGCTCGTATAGGGAACCTCCACTTTATTCAGCGTGTTGGACGGGATTCCGAGGTAGCGCGTTCTGCCCCAGCCGCTGACCGTGGCGGGCGAGGCTCTTTTCACCAGGGCCTCGGTGAATGCCTTGGGTCCGATGCAGATGGGCCGGACATCGATAGAGAAGTTGATGGGTTTTTGGAGTTGGAGCAAGGCGATGTCGTGATTGTATGGGTTCACCCTGGGATTGTACAGCGGGTGCATGTGCTGCTGGGATACTTGGATGTCTTGCTCTGTTTTGTCTTTGCGTTTAATGTTGTGCTCACCTGTGGGAAGACGGGACACGGACACGTCAAACATTCCACCAGAGCCATTTCAGCATTGATTCCATTTCCACATGTATGAGTCTTCTCTTTATCCTTTATCCGGGTCATGGCACCAATTGAAAAGCTCAGAGGGAACCGCTGTCCTTTTGGAATTTAAATGAGAGAAGTACCGTATTTTCCACACTAAAATGTGCACTGGATTATGAGGCACACCTTCAATGAATGGCCTATTTTGTATAATTTTTTTCATATATTGGACTCACCGCATTATAAGACTCAATCTACAATGCATCCACTAAATGGAGCTACGCTCAAGGAAATTCCAACAGAACACTACACTACACCCTGGTTTATATAGCGACGATCAGATGTCAGTAAAACATATTTAATAAAGCAGCGACACGGTTCACTTAACCAACAGTAAGTTATAACATTGACTTGTTAACGTTGAACTCTCTTGCCGCTGCTCTATTTCCGTGTTCAACAGCGAAACCGATCGCCTTAAGTTTGAACTCGCGTTGTTGTAAGCATGTCTCTAGCAACGAGCCATTTTGAGGTTGACATATTACCGTAATGACCATACACAAGGCGCGTCGGATTTTAAGGCGTGCTGTGAGCTTCTAAGAAAATGGAAGGCCTTTAGGTGCGCCTTTTAGTGTGGAAAATACGGTAAGCTTTTACCATGCCTGCCTGTTAATATGAAAGCCAAGATGCAAATAGCTCACGGGGAATGCGTATTAGCATTTAAGTTCCTGCTGAATGTGCATGTGGGAACGTTTGTGTACAGTGTCATAATGGACCTAGGCCTGTTTTCTGAAGAAAAAAAAAAAAGAAGTGCCAGCCAGGTTCAAGTAAGGAAGCTGGTGATTTATCTTTATTACTGAAATAGTTGTGAAACTGTTTAATTGCTTAGTTTGCAAAAAAGTAGCACCAGCAGGAGAAAAAAAAATTGCTAGCAAGACTTAGTTCTAATAGGGAGGAGAAGTAAACTCAATAATGAGGATGTTGAATAAATTCTTCCGATAGAGAGAAAAACTTCAATGGCCGTACCCACTCTAACGACGAAGGCTGCCGGCGCCTCGGCCAGACAGTGGGCTGCGGTGATAACCCACCAAGCGCTTAGAACGGAGCCCCCGCAGAACACCTCCTTCTCCTTTGTGTCTACCAAGGCCGCCTGCGTGGACAGAAAGGAATCGAGGCATGTGGTTCGTTCAAAACATCAATTGAGACACAAGAAAAATACATTTCCCCACAGTGATCTCATTGCATCGTGATTGAATACAATCTGGAGCCTGCTCACTCATATGACATTCTTTGTGTGGTAAACAAATTAATATTTTCATTGCCAATATGCGATATTAGACAGTCAGTGCACATGGTCAATTTTTAAATACCTGCCAGGGGATCTCTGCTGGGACGACCCCAGCTCCACCTACAATGCGCCACATGGGATAGAATTCATCTAGGCTGACGTTGAGGGTGGGAGACCGAGCAGTTCTCATCAGGGCGGTCCTGCCGCATGGGAACTCGGCTAGCAAGATAAGTATTTATTTGTATATTTTTTTTGGGCCATTGTTGTTCTAAAATGCAGAATGATTGGGATTCATTGTCATTTGGGGTTGGTCTACCTTCTGGTTCACAGCTGATCCCGTCCTGCATCAGCTTGTATCCTTCCGCGCAGTAACATTTGCCTCCGATGATGCCCATCGGCTCACAAAAGTGCCCGCAGTCGCCATTGTTTAGATCACACCTTTTCAACAAATCTAACGGGAGACATTTCTTTGTACATCTTGACATTGACACTGGGAATAAAAGTCTAACATAGTACATATAGATAAAAACAACAAAAAAAAAATCTAACTCTATGGTGGTAATTTGTTCCACCTGGCTTTCCTTATTTTGAACCAACAAAGGACAGGGACAACGGAATTTGGAGTTGTTGAAATACCCTCTGATGACATTTTCATTTAAGAAGTGGAAGCCCACTGCTTGTTCTAGAAAAAAAAACTGTTCGTAGCAAGATAGGACAAAAAGTTGGTCCTGAGATCATATAGAGCAGTGTTTTTCAAACTTTTTTGAGCCAAGGCACACTTCTTTCATTGAAAAAAATCTCGCGGCACACCACTAGCTGAAAATGTGAACCCCCCCCCACCCCTCCGCTTATTTTAACAATTAACGTGTTATATTGTTACTATAACCGTTTTTAACATTGAAGAATGACGTTATAACAGCTTGAATTGGAATGAAATGAACACAAAGAAAACAGAAATTTATCATCTTTCCTATTTATTTATTTATTTTTAATCTTTCATATTTATTGTTTCACCGTCATCCTGCATTCATGCGTCACAAATTCGCTTGTCTCTCGTCGAAACACAAGGGAATTGGCTAGCTGTTGCTCCTCCCTAGCGGTAGGAAAGGGTACTACATGATTACTTTCTGGGCGAAAAGACCGCACAGGCAGACAAATTGGATATTTTCCCGCGGCACACCTGACAATGTCTCGCGGCACACTGGCACACGGGTTGAAAAACACTGATATAGAGCACATAAACAATTGCGGTTATTTTACAACCTGCACGTTGGGCAAGCTAACTGGAATTCGGTTGTTAAAAATTTGATATTTTATACATATTTTAGGAACTCAAAAGAAGCAAAAAATAAAAATACATGACTGTTTGTGCCTGGTGCCAAAAGTGCCCAAGGACAAGCTGAAAGGGTCCTAAAATCCAACAAGGCCTCGGACTTAAAGCACGTGTTAGTTGTTGCTATTTTCCGTACATTGAAATGGCAAGCTGGACGATTTCCCACTTACCGTTTTCGCAGTGGGCGCCGGTGAAACCGCTTCGACACTCACACGTGTAGGAGCTCGGACCGTCTTTGCACGTGGCCTGGTGCATGCATTTGTTCGACTCACACTGGTCCCCATCTGAGGACGTTCAGGTGCAACACACGACAATCACAAAGGACAATATGCCACACCCGCCTGAAGGACCTTCGTAAAGCCTTAATCGTCGACAAATCTCTTCAAGCAATAAAAGATCAGAAGTCTCCAGACCCAGGATCGAGTCCCCCCCAAAAAAACAATTCATGCTGCTCTTCTGAAGTCCCCTTCAATTTAGTCTGGACCCAAATATTTCAATGATCAATGATATTTGTGGAGGACAAAGAATCTATGCCTGCGCATATCGCTGTCGACTGTCTCCATGTGTTGCTCTTCTCTTTGTTCCAATATCTGAGGCTTCTAAAACTGCGACGATAGATGCTAACTATTAGCTTTGGAGTTTTCAATGGCATTTCCCAAGCTGTGTTTGCATGAAGGTGGCGAACTGTTCTTGAGGCACGGTTGTGTTAAATACACTTTGTTTTTGATGTTTCGCTTGACAGTAAACTTCAACTGGGAATGGGAAAAAAAAAACATTGAAGCCTCGTTAATTCTTAAAAAAAAAGCACACTATACTGTATGTATTTGTCGGCAAGCCACTGAGAATCTTGAAGCGAGCTGTTGTTCAAAAAAACACGCTATTAAAGTGTCCTTGAGTGTTGTGAAAGGCGCTTACAAATAAAATGTATTATTATTATTTGGGTCCTTCATCACGAAAGGTGCCATTGTAGTCTCCGAAATCGTTCAGTCATGCGCTGAGAAAAGATAAACATGGATTTTGACATTCTTACCATGATATATATTCCAGAACGCTATCTGAAGGAACAGTCATGACCCTTTGGTGAGCAAAAAAAAAGAAAACAAGATGTGCATGGATGGAGAAAATGATGACAAAATAATGAAGTCAGTCGGCAAAGACCGTTTTATCTGAATCCTCAAAGGTCTCCCGGGCCTCCTCAAAGGTACACACTTCCTCATAGCATTCTCTTTCCAGGTTGCCCTGCAGCAGCTCCTCAAATAGGCCCGTGTTATAACGCTTGTGTCTCTTCAGGACGCCATTAGCCGCTTTGCCGGGCAGAAACACTGGGCCTGCAGCCAAACGGGTCAATGCAAGTAAGCTGTCAAAAACAAAGTAATAAAATCCAGAACATACAATAACAGCAGCATTTTTGGACATATTGTGAAATACTCATACCTCCCAGACTCAATTGAAAGGACCACAACAGCACACAAGCAAGAAAGATGTTCGCCATCATAAACAAACGCAAACTCCAAAGTGCACAACGATTTGTGTTTGCGCACACAGACGACAACATGGGTGAATGCGGGTCACGTGCCACAGTTTGGAAGTTTGGGAAAATCTGTCTTTGCTAATGCGGGGGTGACTGCATTGACGTCCTCTGGATCACACATTTGCACGTGAACCAATAGGCAGTCAACAATAATACCTGTTAAAGTCATTGAACAAAAATCATTTAGTTGATGCTTGTTTTGTCTGTTTGTGTCCAGAGATTTACTGGCGACCAGTCCAGCGTGTACTTCGCCTCTCGCTCGAAGTCACCTGGGATAAACTCCAGCTCTGCCGTGATCCACGTGAGTAGGAGGACTTCAGAAAGTGGATGGACATTGGCTGCACTGGTATAACACAGCGCGAAAAATATTCCTTTGCGGAAGGATGCTCAGTTTTGATCACAACAACAACAACAATGAGTAATTGAGTTAATTTTATTCGTCTTCAAGTTCATCGCGCTGTTCGTAACCCCGAAATGTCATTGGTCGGGTCGATGGGAAAGAGGCGAATGGGGTGCACTTTGTCCTTTTGTCCACAAGAGGACGCGCAAAGACCTTCAACAACAACTCGGGCAAGACGATCATGCGACTATTCATGACGTCATACACAAAAAGAGCCAGCATTTAATTTTTTTTATATATACTGTCAGTTGTTTGGCAAATTCGGACATTTTTTTTCTTCAAAGCATACTTAGAGCCTGCAAATGTAACTCTCAATGTGTGAGTTTATTTGTGTGTGTATAAACTGTAGAACAGGAGGTAAAATCTTCCCCGCCAAGGGAAAATCCAAAAGCTTCTCAGGTGCTGGCGTCTATCGATCGGAGTCCTTTATAATTCATCGAACCGGAGACTGGTTGCCAACCGACAGAAAAACAACCATTCGCAATCGGCAATTTGTAGTCTTCAATCAAGCTAACATGTATGATTTCGGAACGTGAGCGGCAGCTGACGTCAACCATACTCACAACTACAACCATAAGAACCACAGCAGCGACGACAAGCATAAAAACAAGAACAACCATCGTAAACACAATAATCACAACACCGACAGTAAAAAAAAAAAGTAAAAAAAAAAAAAAAAAAAAAAAAGAAAAAAAAAAAAAAGAAAAAAAATGATTCTAACCTCAACAACAATTGTAAAAAAAAAAACAACCATGAGAACCATAACAATAGCCACAATATTTTTTTTTCCCATAAAACCCACACGGGCACAAGGTGAAAGTAGAAACTTCACACTGCAAATCCACAGCTGGGATTCAAACCCAGAACCTCGGAACAGTGAAGCAGATATTTTGTCCAAAAATCCCACTGTGCTGCGCGTTGAGTTAACTAGCCACTACAATTGCGCAGATTGATGGAGGGGAGTCCAACAATCGATTGGTGAACTCCTCCTTGACGTCTCTGTCTTCACTCACTCCGTCTGGGGCAGCTCGGCCCAGCCAGAAAAGCCGTGTCGGGTCCAATAAAATCCATCTGCAAAACACGGTCGCACGCTGATGAAAAATAATGAACCAAAACGCTACTCATGCTAGCTCAGTGCTATTGATGTCTCTATCCGCTTTCTCCAGAGCTGGGACGGAAGCGGGGGCCTGGCCGGGCCCGACCGGGCCACAGCCTATCACCATGGGAAGCAGGCAAGAGTCATGGATCTTATTGTTTTGTCCCACTGCGCACTTTGTGGAACTTTGCCAAGACACACGCCAACCTGGGTGAGTACTCACGCTGTTGACGTGAATCAGTCATATGATCTAACAGAAGCGAAACATACACACATTGGCAAACGCACAATCCAACCAGCACTCCTCGCTTCCTCCCACACACTCTCCAGCCTACACATACTTGCACACACACACTTATACACGCACAATCCATGCAGATCAGCTGTCAGGCTGATGAAATTTACACGCGAACCTGGTGACCCGAGCGTAATGAAAACGCGATCTAGGGATGTGCGAAGTCAATTATGGCGGCCGGTGTGGCAGAAATACGAGGCTCCGTCGTCGCTTTCGACCCCGACCTCTGTTGGATTTAAAATAACTCTACACCCCCCCCCCCACCCCAACCCCCGGATGACCTTTCGTGGACGGAGGTCACGACGCTGCGGAAAGCGCATGTGAGGAAGGAGCAGGTGCAACCATGTGAAATGAGCAGTGGCGCTCGATGACATTCGTCACTCGAATGTGCAGGCCTGTCAACCCAACACCCCTCTCGGAATGGCCGTTAGCATCTTAGCCGCAGCTTAGCTTTCATCATATTGCCTCACCAGTCTCAGTTTGGATTTGCACTGCATGGCTCAAGTGTCAAAAAAATTTTTTTTTTTAATGGCACAATTGCACAGGCAGATGTCTTAATAGAAACAAAAAATAGATTCATAATTGAAGTTCTTCAACACACCTCAACATACTACCTTGGCACCAATGTGCTGCAAAAAGGTGCTGAAACATTCATTATGTTTGTCTAATGAAGCTCCTCAACTCACTTCAATGCCGTTGCTTGGCAAAGCGCTACTTTTGTCTAAACAGAGCTCCTCAACTCATTTCAGGAAAGTTCTTTGGCATTAAGATGCTGGCAAAAGCTGCAAATTAATTACATTTCCAGCAAATCATGTAGGGTATTAAAAAAAAAAAAAAGATCTATGAATGTGAATTAGCAAACGCCGAACTGCGAATATGCTGTTGAACGAAATCAGGCCTCTTCAAAATGTAGATAAACCTGCATACTCATCGGATAGCGACCAATACAACACCACTAAGCCAAAAAGCACAAATCAGATATACCTGATCGATCCTACTTTGAAAAAAAACATTAAAAAAAACGCCAGATGGAAATCTCAACTGCGGTGAAAGCATAGACAATGGCATGGCGTAAATACGCGCCATTAGAAACATTTTGAATTTGTATTTACTTCCAGTATTATTGTTTACTTCAGTGCTGTCACTGTGGGGTGATGAAGCTTGCCGAGTTATTTTGATGCAATTTGAGAGTCTGTTTCTTGTGCTCTCAGAATGTAAACGCAGTCCTATCAGATATGTGTCACATGAAACCAGGCAGTCCCCCAAAAATCACAGACAGGCATTAAAATGAGGCTTGGACCTACGGTGTAAATTCAGCCTTCTTGCTCCACATTTGAGCACTGGACTAAACTATCAGCCTGTGTCCGAAACGCTCATCTTATCAGACGTGGCCAGCTTGAACTGGAGCACAACCTGCAATCAGAGGCAGATAAATAACCAGACTGCATGCCTTTGGGATATTCATCACGCGGCAAGCATCCACCTGCTCTCATGCATGACGTCAGGACTGATCTCTGTCACAAACGTCACTGGCTGCCAAGAGAGAAGGTCTGCATGCAGATGCAATGGAAAACGGGTTAGAAAAAAAACAAAAACAAAAAAAAGGGCTAAGCCACATCTTGAAATTTCTGACGACTTGCGCGCACTTACCACATTTGACCCCCTAACATTTGACATCAGTGCACAGATGTCATGAATGTCATGTTTAACCCTTTTTATGACTTTTTTCCAAGTGACCCAAATAAAATGAAAACAAACTGTTCAAGGGCCAGGTTTGAATGCGGCTAAGATAAATAACCCCCCAAAAATGCCACTACGAATGTCACCTATAACCTGTACGATTCAATTTTTGAGCTATTTTAGAAAAGCCCCTCTCGCTGCTCATGTAGCCCCACGGGCAACACGTTGCAGACCCCTGGCATAGATTAGCCATCCATCCATCCATTTTCTGATCTGCTCATCCTCACAAGGGTTGCGGGTGTGCTGGAGCCTATCCCAGCTGTCTTTGGGCAGTGAGGGGGGGGGGGGGGGGGAGGACACCCTGGTATAAAGAAGCATTAATTGGCGCTTTCATATCATTTGCTGTGTTGGGTCTATCTCAGTGACAGACTGAGACTGCTGTTTTCTTTTCTGATCAAAACAATGTTGTCTTTTACTGTGATCAAAACAGCGGATAATCCACGAATTGCATTTTATTTAAAATATTTATTCTGTCTTTAATGCATTTTTTTTCACTTTTAAATTATCCTACAGGCCAGATCGAAGCTCTTAGGGGCCGGTTCTGGCCCGCGGGCCGTATGTTTGACACCACTGATTTACGGTGTTCCATTAACTTGCCACGCATGTTTTTGGAATGTAGGAGGAAACTGGAGTACCCGGAGAAAACCCACGCAGGCCCCGGGAGACAATGCAAACTCCACACAGGAAGGCCAGAGCCGCCCACAATACGGTCATTCTTATTTATCAAAATAATCAGGCTATCGTCTAATCTGAGAGTATCGTACTTATTCGTGCTCTGCGACAAGGAAAAAAAAACAAAACAAAGCAAAACAGACTTTGATGGAGGGTGAGCGAAAAATGTCCCAGCTCAGGCCCCTCTTGGGTGGGCAACTACGGAGCAGGAATGGGGACTTTGTTATGGAGCCGTTCCACGAAGAAGGAAAAAAAGATGTGTTATTTTTACTTGAACCTTTTCATGCAAAAATAACGATAACCTGATAAGCTGTGCACTATAGTAACCGCTGTCCCTGAACGGGTTAACTGCTTGTATGCCGAAGCTGTTAAATCACTTTGCTCTGCTCAGGAAACAAACTGCCATTCCCCGAAGGAACGGAGAAGTGCTTCAGTGTCGGCGTGTGATGTCACACATCAAGAGTGCGTGTTCATGAGCGCCAAAGCCAGGCTGCGGGGCGATGCTTTCAACAGGCCCGGGCCTGGCAAAGTGGCGATGCCTCGCAAAGGGCAAAGGGGGCCACAGGCCACGGACACAGTGGGAACACAACCCAGTGACATTTCCACATGGAACTCATCCCCGCCCCCTCTCCTCACTCTCTGCCAACACCAGGCCGGTCCTTACCTCCAGAAGATTCCTGCACTCGTCAGACTCTCAAATGTGAATCCCCGCTATATCGCAAATCTTCAGCTATTTGTTATTTCATGGGTTTTTGCACTGCCAAGGCAAGTTTTGCACCTTCAGTGTAGTATGTTGTGCCACAATTGAGCACGACTTGAGGGCATGCAGCAATAGTAGAGTACGCTTGCGCCTGGCAAATAGTTTTCGTATTGAGTATGAATCGAATATTCTTTGTCTGTTTTCTGAGCAGATCAGGTTTTGGAGATATTTTTTGGTTCAGTTTGACCTATAATAGCTTGCACAAGATGGATTTTATAATGCGTTGTTTTATCGCGATAATGTTTCAGAAAAAAATAATTTCTAAATATGACTAAACATATTTCTATATCATTTTTCTTAGATTTTTACTGTTATAAAAACTTGATTTGCTCGGAAAAAATGACGGCAGATGATGAATTGGAACATCTGTGTATCTTTTAAAGGCAGAGCCTGGCCCGGTGAGTGACGTGGGTGTCAGCCAATTAGAGGGTGGAGTTTGCTGGCTTTTAACTAACTATCACCTTTTTCTTCAACCTTTTTTGTCAACACATTTTTTGAGTTATTTGAATAATAATTTCTGCACTAAATTAGACCAAAACACACAAAAAAGGCAGAGAAGGTCCCCTACTAATCTAACAAACAGAGCAGAGAGAATATAGTCCTGTGATGGTAGACAGTTTCAAATGATACAGTTACTTTTTTTGTCACACCTACCAATGCAAATCAAACGTCATCTGAACAAAAACCTCACTTATGCTATGCAGATTCCGATTTCAGATTCCAGCCATAATTGTTTCTCACACTTTTTAAAACATTTTATAATTGTGGTAGCAGCGTGACTAATTGAAAGCGAGCAAGTGTGTGCCTCAAACATCTCGGCGAGATTAGAGCGTGGGGAAAAGTTTGAAAGGCGTCCAGTTTCTTCTAAAAATAGCCGGCATAAAGATCGTGTGACCCTCAAGGCTGCAGGTCTTTTTCCTTGGCGGCCGCTGACTGCGGAAAACCCTCGAGGCCAAGAAGGAAGCGAATCAACCCCGCGATGGCCTGAGAAGAGACGGTTAAAAAAACCTCCCCCTAATAACGTCCCTTAACTTTTATGAGGTGCGCAAATAGTCCGGATTTTTCCATCGCCTTGTTACATGTTGTGAACGTGAGAGAAAGCATGCTACACCTCTTTTGGGGTTAAAGGTAAGCATGGACTGGTGATGGAGTGTGCTTCATTTTGTGTGTGTGTGTGTGTGTGTGTGTGTGTGTGTGTGTGTGTGTGTGTGTGTGTGTGTGTGAGTCCTTAATGGATTACATGTTTGTCACACATGTTATTTACGATGAGGACTGATGGGATATGCAGCTCCGGAAAATGTCCAACTTAGTGTACAAATGACAACAAAAAATGCAAAAGTTATGTTTTTTTTTTTAATTAAATGACATTACAGCAGAATTCCATGTTCATTAAACGCAAGCATAACAAGTTGCATTTTGTCTGTGGTTCAGTATGTTTGCTGGAAATTACACACTTCTGACTTGGGTTGGATGAGCACCGGTATCAGGTGTCGGAATCGGGCCGATATCGCCCCTATTTCAATTTATCGGGTATTCGTGACAGCGGTCCGATACCAAGGAGCTCATGCGGCCATTTTACTTTCAGGAAAGAACAATTTCGAAGTGAATTCCATCCATGTCCACCTTCTCATATGCAATTAAGATGCAATGGTATATACTTTTGCAATAATAATGCTCATAATATTGATGAAAAAAATGACTTTTCTGTGTACAAGGCATTTTAATACACTGATTAATATTAATTATAACAATAATAAAAGGGTTGAAAAATAAAGGCCTTTTTGATCAAAAGTATGTCAAATCTTGTTGGTCGACATGACATTTGACTATTCTCATGTTGCCACGGGAAACCAAAATATTAGGAACACCTCTCAGTATGCAACGCTGCCAACTATGAAACACGAAGAATGAAGTCACTTCTACAAATATAGAGCAACATTCATAAAACGATGAAGACTGGATTTTTGATACATTGGACTTGACCGACCTCATTGGCAGGGGTACCTAATAGTGTGACTCTCTCTCTCTCTCTCTCTCTCTCTCTCTCTCTCTCTCTCTCTCTCTCTCTCCATCCATTCAATCGCATCTAAGCCGTCACGTGATCACCGCGAGAGCGAAAATGCGCAAAGAGCGCCACGACCAGACGCGGCATCTCGACAGCGGCTCTCCAAAAACAACTCGCTCGCCACATGCACGACAGCAAAACGGGGAGGGGGGAGAAAAAAAAACTACGTATTTGATTTTTTTTTCAGATATAGGGAGACCGATGGCAGCCTGCAGCCAATCGTCGTGTGCGTGACGTGGAAGCGCGCTGGTGTTGCGTATCCTGTTGATTGTGACCGAAGAGACAAAAAGCCTCAGACAGACAGTCGAAGCTCCACTGACAAGAGGCCACACTGGATGGCCCCCCACTCCAGGCTTTTGTTTGTACACAGAACCCCTCTTTTTCTCTTTTTGGGCGCCCCGTTTTTTAATTTTTAGCGTCATTCACCGCGCGTCGTGCTTTTCCTCTCGCTGGTGTCGATGCAAGTCAGCGGCATTGATGGTGGGAGCGTGTGCTTTCATCCACGTGCATTGATGTCGCGCGCAGCGAGGACGAGATAAGGTAGGATAGCGGAAACACACGCGTACACGTTATTCGCTATTTGCGCGTGTGGCATATGGTCCACGCATGCAGCAACCTCACGCTGTTTTGTTTTCACTGGAAGAACCCCTCGACGCGCGCACCCCTTCAGGCAAGAGGGACCATTGTCTCCTCACTGCACGCCTCGAAATTGCGCGTGGAAAAGCGAAAGGGGTTGAAAAATGTAATTCGTGTGACTCTTTGCCCCCCCCCCCCCCCTCCCACCCGCCCCGGCCATATCTCAGCACGTGGAAGCCCGTGGAAGGATTTGATTGATGACAAAGTAGACCGTCCATCAGGATTCTTGTCTAAATCGGGAATTACGCATCCAAACTGGGATCTATGAGCGGCAAAGTGGCGAAGCCTAAAGAAGACAAGGATGCTTCCAAGGGTAAGTGGCCAGATCGTTTTCATTTTGGCCTTGCACTGAATGCTTTATTACCCCCCCCCCCACTTTAAAAACAATAACGATAGAAATGAAGGTTGTCCCTTCATCCCCTCCACCCCCTTGCATGGTGCAACCGGGTCACTGTGAGCAATGATGGTGAGCTGTTGTCAGCATGTGGACGCCGCAGGCCCACATTGTGCACGATGAGCTTTTTGTTTTGGTGATTGCAATGCCGCAGCCAATCATAGTACGCATGTAGATTGTAGAAGGAAAAAAAAAAGGACGCAAGCAGAAAGGTGGAGACGTGTCCATTGTGTTTCCTCCTGGCATCCTGTTGAATTGTCTGAATCTCTTATGGGAGGAGGGGGGCGGGATTTCATACATTTGAACCCTTTTTTATTTATTTATTTATTTATTTCGCATCCAATTCACAAAAGCTTGGGTGGCCGTTTATCGCCATGGCGACAAAGAGGAGTTAGGGTTACCAGAGAAACCGGCATATGCACACTTCCCAGACACACACACACACACACACACACACACACACACACACTTGCGCATACATGGAGCCGCTGTGAGCAACGTGACGTACGTCACCGTTGTTTCTTCCCACTAATTCAATTGCACGCTCAAAACCGGCAAGTTTGAAGTGATCACTGCGATTAATATGCTTAACTGCTTTGCTTTGGAATAACTGCCACAAGTCATCTCAGTTTAAATCAGGGTTGGAGATTTTTTTTTTCATAGCCCATTCTAGATCTGCAAAGAAATTTCCTAATGTGTATTATTTTATTCATCCATCCATTTTCTGAGAGCTGGAGCCTTTTCAACGACTTTGTTGCAGAAACAGCCTGAACTGATCAGCAGCCATACACGTCATATTTACACTGAGGGAAAAATGTATCTCTCCGCTGAATCTAATGGCTTTCCTAAACCGCACGACTTTTTGATAATTCCTGACTGTCGCGCTGTCATACTACCGGAGAAATATCGTTCTGTGTCACACCACAAGTCCGTCTCCGTCAAGATTCAGTCCATCGGCGCAGGTCCCTCAGGGAGGCGGGACAAGCAGCTGTTGTCGGAGGCATTATGTGCACGTGTGTTGTTTCTATATACAGAAAAGGAAAAAAAAAATGAGAGTATGGACGATGGTGGCGAACGGGTGGTACGGGCTGTCTCTTCTCCAAAAAGAACTTGAGGCAATTGTTTAACATGCTTTGCTAATCGGCTACTAGCTTTGCAGTTAGCCAACGTAGCATGAGTTGAAATGCTACGTATACTTTCCAATATTTCCCCTTTTCTTCAAATCACTTTTAAAATACTGTACACCGCATTGTGATTGCGTGCGCCATGTCCAGTCTCTCGTCATATTTAGGAGGGCGTTCTCTTCCTATTGGTCAATGCCCAAGAACCGATCGAAGCATGACATAGGACATATCACAAATTCTGAGATGTCAGACTTTTGTCGTCCTGGTTCTGAAAGTGTCCCAGACGCCCCCTGACCAATCGTATGTTACCTACGTTACAAATCGTCTACGGGACCGTACGTTTGTTTGCTAAGCGTCAAAATCGGGTCACAACCTTTACTGCATAGACGATCAAAAAGCAATGCATAGCAATCTTATTGCGGGGCCAAGCTAGCAACGACTGTTGTGGTGTCATCTGGCTGAATTCCTGGGAAAACGTCCTTGAGCAACACACTAGAGAACAAGATTTAATGGCTCCTGATGAACTGTTTGACAAGAGTTGTCACCGATTTGTGTGTGTGTGAACAGTGTGAAGCACTTAGGACGAAAGCGTGACGTCCACACTTGTGCCACTCTTGTTAAAAAATGTGACTACCCCCCCCCCCCCCCCCCCCGCTTAGTTCGTGACACTTGAAATGAGACTTTTAAGTGTGCATCTGTTTTGTGCTGACAAAAGAGTGAGCGAAATGTGCTGGCAAAATTGATTCCGAGATTAACCTCAAGAGCATCTTTCTCTCTTCCACTCCCCCTCCAAATCAATGGCCGCCGTGAATGGCTGACTCACTCAAGTTCCGTGGCACGGACGATCCAAAATACATCTTCACCCTTACAGAAGAACAAGGAAAAGCGCAGTGGGATTCACATGATGATAAAAAAAATGTGTGGATTAGATATATGTGCTCTAAAAAAAGAACAACATGACATCAGCTATATAAAAATGAGCTGCTGTAAAGCCATGTGACGTCGACAATGGCATTTATTTGGACTGTTTTTTTTATTTTTTTAAGTCAACAGAATTTAGTGGCATTATATGCATTTTGTGTCTTGCATTTCGTTTCATGAAAACCTGACTGGATGATTTGATAAGCAATGACTTCTCAGGCAGACCTCACAACCAACGTTACAGGCGTGCGAATGTGCGTACATCAGGGTTGTAAGAGTTTGGGATTTCTTCCTGAGAGTTACTATCGTTTTATTTAATTTCGATTTTTTTTTTTTTAAATTCAATTAGTTTTAATTGGTATGATTGTTTTTTTTAATTTTATATTTTTAGAAAATCCTTTGTTTTAGGTTGGTTTGTATTAGTTTTAATCTTAGTTTTATTTCATTTCGTTAAATATTTGGAGTATTTGTTGAGTGCCAAATTAAAAAAAATATAGTTATATTATTGCATAATAAACTAGAATACTCAAACAACTGACCTCGGTTCAGCTGTAGCTACGGACGTACAGCAATACCGAAATAAATACATCACAAATCAACCCAGAAAGCTCATGTATGATGTTAAATGGCAAAAACTAAAATGGGCATTTTTGCTATGATTATAGTTTTATAAATGCAAGATGTATTTTCAGTTACAGTAGTTGTTTTTTGGAAAATCATTTTCCATTTTTATGCCGTTCTTGAATGTTTCTTCAGTTTTAGCTTTACCGTTGGTTTTCGTTCAGTATACTGGCATAAGCTTCGCATAAATTGTGAGGGATTACGTCACCGTAAACACCCGCCTTTTGTTTACGTGACACCCGTTTTGTTCAAGTGTGTAAACTCGAGGTAACGTCGGGGCCTTTTGGTGAGCGTAATGTGATTTCCTAAGTGTGGGTCATCCAGTCGAAACCATACTGCCTCTCCTCTTCTTCTCCCTCGCTGGTGCGTGTAAGGCCGAACATGCAGCGCAGCGGACGTGTAGAAGGATCGCCGCCGATATCAACACCAGTGATTCACGTCGCGTTAGCTTCCTTGCTGTCCTTGTGAAACTAACGCAGGGTGACAAAGTGATGTGCGGATGCATGACGCACGCGCTCCCTCGGCTGTGCGGCGCTTTCGGTGCTGAACCGGAAAACTCGACTCTTGTTTGCACGGCGAGTATACTCATCCGAACGGCTACGGGCGTCTTAACTGGATGGACTGATGACACAGTTTCAGATTTGATATTTTGGCATCACTTCCTGGTTCAAATGTCAGCCTTTTGTTCTGACGCAGATTGGGTCGCGGCGCCCGGAGCAAAGTGACTCGCCTTGCATCAGAGATGTGACACCCTCCATCGCGGCATTGCGTGCTGATCCATGTTTGGTAGCGTTAAGGGCTCGTCCTCGCTTCCTGTGTCAGCTCAGATTTGGGAGTGACACTGTTGACATGTGATTGGTAGTTTGGATTTTTGGTCTTGGAGGCGACTGATGGAAAACCTTTTGTTTAACCTTCACGTACTGCTCAGGTCCTATCTGACCCATTTGAAATGACAATAATATGACCCTTAATGTCATTCTTTCTTTTAAAACATCTTTTTTAAAGCTGGTACGAAGTTGGTGCGCACGGAGGTTGTTCTGATTTAACATTTGAAAACGGATTTTAGATTTGCTGGCGTGTGTTAATTCAAGGAACGTGTTTGTAATGGTGAGACTCTGTGAATCCGTACAGATCCTACCAAGAATGTGCGTGTTCTTCAGAGGGCAGTGGGAACAGTATTCACGGGGGAGCTTGAAAGACTTCCAAGAACTGTCTGCGCACCCACCGCGTTTGCACAGGTTTCCGCTGAAACAGCACTGGTTGATCTTTGAATGGGTCACGAGGGAATCTCGACCATGCGAATGATCATCTGCGCTAGACGGTGCCTCGACACACGCGCGAGATCAGTACAAAAATCCTTTATCTCTGAAACATTGAGAAATGATGAATCATTATTATTATTATTTTTTTAAATGTTGGACAGGCTTTTGGCACCTCTTGAAAAGATACTGTCGGTAGTTCATAACTTGTTATATATTGTCCCGGGACATACAAAAATAAACACTATTGAGGGGTTAAGAAAATAAAAAAATCGCACGCTATTATTGTGACATCACATCCACATTTAAAAAAAAAAAAAAAAACAACCCAAATTTTTAAGTATCGTACCTCCAAACACCAA